CGTCATTAAGAGCTGTAAAACCTGGAAGACTTTCAAACTCCGTGGCAATTACCAACTTAAACACACACAATCAAATAAAAAAAAAAAAAAAAGATAGCCTTGTTTGCAAGCCTCGTCTCCTCGGCACGGGGCAGGGTGCCCACAACCGTCTGCTCCCATCRTGGCATTTGAGCGGAGCAAAGGGAGCAGGGAGCCCTCGTGAGTGACAGCTCCAGCTCCAGCTCTCCCTTTGCTCTTCGGGCCTCTCCGGTGAAGAGCATCCGCGGACAGAGCGCTACCCTGTGTAAATATATTCACTAAATAAATGTGGTAATTATGCTCAATATTATTCTCAGTAGAAACAGCAGTGGGGAAATGATTTGCATAAGAAATGTGGATTAGTCATGTAAATGAATGTGTTATTTGTTTATATAAAAAAAAAGATTAAGCTTTGTCTAAAGACCTAGAACTGAACTATACGTCAAAGTAATCACTTAGCCGGTGTCTTGCGCCTTTAGCACGCTCAGCCTGCCCTTACCCAGTTAGCTTTATTTAYGTGTCTCGCCCAGTGCTTTGCTGCAGCCTGGTCTGCTGGGGCCCTCAGCGTGGGGAAGGGCAAAGCTTTCCCCGCGTGCCTGGCTTTGGCTGCCACTGAAACACCTCTAGGGAAGCAGGAGCGTTTAATCTTTCCATTTCAGCAAATGGGGACGAGTGGCGGGAGAAGCAGGGAAGACGTCCGCAGGTTTAGAGTTACCTGCAAAGCCCGGCTCCAGGAGGCAGCCACCCAGAGAGGCAGAAGACCTTCTTAGGGGGCTTAATGGGAGCTTTGCTTCTAGGCCATGGGAAACCTCTTCAGCTGAGCCTAATTTTCCTAAGCACCAGCACAGGCCAGCAAGGAGCTGGTGCTTCGGGCTTCCTTAGGGAGCAGCAAATAACTTGGGAAAGGCTACAGGGCTGCCTTGCAGTGCAGGGCCTTGATTTACTGCTGCATCCCCCCAGACAAACCTGCAGTTTGGGTTTTTGCAGCGGCCRGCAAGGTGCTATGAGAGCCATGGGGTCCTTCAGCTCACAGGTGGCTGGAGGGAACAGGAATTCTTTGATATCCTCCAAATCCCGTGTCACCTTTTAACGTAAGGTAGAAGGTAGCGTTGAGGAATGGCACCCCCACATGGCCTTTCCGCTGAATTTCTCCTGTGCTTTCGTAGCCCAAGTAACTTGTGCACCATTAAAAAACTTGATGAGGAAGGACGAGGAAGAAAATAAAAGGAGGATGAAGAAATAAGGGTCCCTTCTGCCAAACTCAGCAATTTATTCTTGCAGGATATAAACTGCTTTCTATGTTAATTCAGTCTCCAGATTCCTTATGGGCTTAACTGTGCCTTATCTTGATAAGAGATTCCCTTTTCTTTTTGCACTCTATGCAACTACAGCTTGCAAAATTAAGCAATTAAAATTGCTGGAAACTTGTGCAATTTGGCAAAGAGGGATCCGGATGAGGGAGGGTGTGATGTGCCGGAGCGTTGYGCTCGCATCCTGCCCTGCACAGGGAGCAGGACAGCGGTCTGATTAACTTCTCAGTAATGCCCACGTCAACTGTCCAAAAGTCTTTGGGCTGAGCAGTTCAAACCAAGCTGTTTCTAAGACGCTTAGGGCTGTTCCTGATATCTGAACTTGCCTCCTGACCTTTGGGAGGCCAAGACTCGCGGTGCCCAGCCATTCCTGAGGACGAGCATCAGATCCTGCAGCTGGGACACCCGTTCCAATGCGGATCAGCTTCTACACGACGTCAGACACGAGTGAGCAAGAGGCCGCCGCGGCGCAGGGCGACGGCGGGAGCGGGGCCACCAGCAGAGCCGAAGCCGAAGCCAAAGGGGAAGCGCGCGAGGCCGCCGCGCCTCAGAGCCGGTTCCTCACGCCTGGGCTTCAACTCGGCGACAACGCGGGGCTTCCTCCAGCAGCAGGTGGTTTATGTCTGGCTGCAGCAGGCTCAGGAGAAAGAAAGAAAGAAAGAAATCCAGCTTTTAGCTGAAAGGGAAATTGAAAAAAAAAAAAAAAAGCCCTACTTCAGAGCAACTACCTCTTTCGATTTGTCTCATTTAAGGAGCACTGGCTACAGACATCGTTCTCACAGGCACAGTGGCAGGAAAGTGAGGATCTCACACCAGGTTCTGTGGGATGCTCATCTCTTAACCCTGTTGTTGATGTGAGATGCATACCTGGCCTGTAGAAAAAGATAGGATCATTTTAAAATAAGACACATTGGGCCCTATGAATATGAGAATGAAATGCCTGTATTTGTATATTGTTAGAGTAAATTTTCATCAGAATGAATTTCAGTACAAAAAAAAAGAGGTTTTAATTGCATGCTTTTTTGAGTCTCTGCGTTTGGTGACAGCTGCAAGTTTTCCTAGAAAAAACTTGCCCTCAACAGCAGCACCAAAGTGTTTCTTTCCACTGTCTCACAGAACAGTGGAAAATTTGTACAAATAACAGCTTTGTCTTTGAGCTGATGCTTACCATGAATTTGGGCTCCAAGGCCCCAGYTGACTCTAGCTGCGATGCTCCCCGTGATGAAGAGGAAGTGTAATTCACCCCAGAGTCATTTGCTATGGCACTTTTCAGCAAGAAAGTAGAACAGAAACCCAGCAAAGCAGAGCCGCTTCTCCCCGGGAGCTGCAGCCACCTCAYGCCAAGCAGGTGCTCTGCAGGTAGCATCAACCTCCAGTCAGGACTTTGTAGCCTTCTCTTCCTTCTCGGGTGGAACRGCCCCTTCTGCTCCTGCACAGATGATCCAGGCAAAACGTGAATCTCCCGGACTGGACTGGAGGGCAGCGCGATGGAGACATCGTTTCYGCAGAGCAGGTAGGGTAACAAATCAATCCTGAGCGCGCTGATAAATTGAACTTCCAGCTTGGTGAGGCTGCTTTCTGGGTCTAAACCAGTGTGAGGCACAGCAGGAAGCAAGGGCAAAGGCAATCATCAGKGTTTCATTTAGCGAGGAGCTGCACACTGAGCGGAGGAAGAGGGGGGAAAAAAAAGGCTTCTTTTTCTCTTTTTCCTCCTCCTTTTGTAGCGCGGCATTTCTACAGTTTACAAAGGAAGAGTGTGGGGTGCAGGCAGAGGCCGCAGGGCTCGCTGCTCCTTGCAACCCCCGTGCCTGGGTCTGGCTGCGCTCTCGGAGGCTGCCCCTCAAACGCAGGCGAATCGCTGGCGCACGTCACGCGGTGCACAAGTAGATCCAGGTCCTGCCTCCCATCATTGGAGTCCAGTCACACGGTGGAGACACAACAGAGCAGAAGGGGGACCAGGGAGTGGGGATTTTGCTCCCACCTTGTCTCTTGGATCACCTCGGTGGCCTCAGTTGCATGTGGCAGGGACACGTGGCACCTCTGAAGGAAGGAGCCTCTAACTCCTCACTCCTGCTTCRTGGATTAACAGCTCCCTTTTGTGGGATAGGACTATAACTACTGCTCAGTAATTAAAACCAAAAATAAAATTAAAAAAAGTTATTTGTTCTACCCAGAGCATCTCATGCTGCAGACAAGCTGTTTGCACAGCTTGACCAGCTACGACGGTGGCTGCTGGGGTAGCTACTTGACCGAGTGTCATACCTTCCAGGAAAGGATCTCARCATGCTTTTAGGTGAAGTAGAAGTATTATTGGCTACACTGTAAGAACAGTGAAAATGACAGATGAGACCCCGTCAGAGGGCACTGTAGGGAAGCTGTGGAGAGCCTCAGGGTGCAGCTGCTTCACGTGACCCCTYGAGAAATGACAGCCATGCAGCTAAGCACTAGCCCTACAGCGCAGCCTGCTCCCCTCGGGGCAGAGCCCTGCACCCCACCCAGCATCCACACTGGGGCCGATTGCCCCACACGTGGAGGTGACGTGCGCGCCCAGCGCACCCAGGGCACCTCAGCTGCACCCGGAGGAGCAGCGAGCTCTAGCTGCAGAAAAGCCCCGTTGCAAAGGGCCAAACACCTCCTCTCAGCTTCAGCTCAGGCCTACCCTTCCAGTATGCGCCCCCAGCCAGCCCGGTTCGTGCATTCCAGCCCTTTACTTGCTGCTCATGTTATCTGCACCCGTCTTCTCCTGAAAGGGCCTCTATTAGCAGCTCTAATCCCAAGCCACAGCGCCGCTTCTCTTTGATTTCTGCTACAGCAATACCACCCACTGCAAAGCTCAGCATCTCTGTAACTGCTGTGGTTACAAATGAATGCATCTTTTGGCAGCCTTTTAGATCATTTTTCTACAATGCACATTGTAAATGAGGAGCAATATATCTTCAGAATTGCTCTGAAAAATGTTACTCTGTTAGCAATATAAAAGCATTACAGTGTCCAAGTAGGTGCCCTTGCCAAAACATTTTATTGTGAGCCAGATAATTCAGTTTGAATTGTACACGGGTTGGTATAATCATTCCAGTAAAGCATTCTTTACAATTCTGTAACAGCAAGTCACATGGCTCAATAAAGTTCATTGCTGCAAGTGTTTAGTGATTCATGGCATAGATGAATTCCRTTCCTTTCCTGCGTCAAGTAATCAATAGCAAAATAATCTCCTCGCAATTACATCGCTCTGTGTTAAATAGGTGTGAAGTAAATAAGTACAAAATCTGCTATAAAAAAAACAGTATGTACAACATTAAAACGTAAATGCCAAAGTGCCATTCGAGCACGGGTGTCCTGCACCACACTGCCCRTGGCAGCGGCTGTTAAGCTGTGCCCAGGGCAGAGCTCCAGGCTGTGCCCGGCCCGCGGCAGCCTGGCACGTGCTGGTAACGAATCCTGGTGGCACGGGCAGCTTTTGCACCCCTCGCTGCACCCTCTGCGCTGCCCAGGCTGAGCGGCCCCCCAGGGCAGCACCCACGGGTGCCAGGGACCATCTGCTCAGATCACACGGTGCCAGTGAGGCCTGTGCTCTGCCCAGCACCCCTTTCAGAGCTCTCAGTGCTGTCTTTGCACAGAGCAGAGCAGAGCTGCTGCAAGCCCTGCTTAACAGGGTGCACGTTAGGTCGGACTTAGTCTGTGCACTCAGGTGTGAGGCAGAGAAGGGAACAGAGGCATGAGAGCTGGGAGAGGGCAGGTGCTTCAAGCTGGGAGCCTCCCCAGGAGCCTGGCGGGTGTCAATGCTGTGACACCCCTGTCAGGAGCCCTGCAGCCTGTCCTGCCTCTCCAGTGACACCACAGAGGCTGCTCACGACGCACAGATCAGCTGCTAGAGCCAGAACAAGTGCAACYAGAGCTATCTACTTACCTGCTTCTAACAAAGGCACTTCTCATAAAACCAGTGTGAAAGTAAGGCGGCCTAGAAGCAGGCTGTGCTAGGGAACAAGGAGCAGGCTGTCATCTTAAATGGTTAATGAGTGCTGATTGGGAATGCTTACACAAAATAGGCTTTCTCTCCAAATACACTCATACTGTYGCACAGACTTCAGTGCAGAGGGCAGCACATATCTGAGCTCAGGTTTTCTTGGTTTATGGTTTACCTTTAATCCACAGTCTTCCTCACACATACCCCTAATGGGCATCTAGGAGATTAAACACTAAAGTTTTAGAAACAGGGAAGGCTGTCTAAATAARCTTAATATAAACTCCTTCCTACAGAGGTGTTAGAGCATGGTCTTTCATTGTGTGATTGCTCCCACAGAAGTCCCATTTTCATTCTGTACCCAGCTTAGACCACATGCTGGAGAAGAGACCACCATTCTTCCCACAGGAATGCAGCAAAGTCAAAAGGGCAACCTGTGCCAGGCATTTAGTGTGGAAACTTCCAGCCCAAATAGTTAAATGGTAAAAAAGTGAAAAAAAAAAAAAGGTGCTCTAGACAGCTATATCAAGTAACATGGACAGTGTTTCACATGAACAGCACTGCTTCCAACATATTCTCTAATACTGTTCACAGTTATGCATCCAGTTTCCACTTCTTAGTTCAGGAAGCCTCTACTCTTTCCTCCCCCCAAGTGCACAGACCCAAAAACCATGGGTCTCGCAGCTGCAGAACTGGGAATTGTCCTTTTAGGGGCAAGGACTGTTCCTCTCCCAGGCTCGAGAGGCTGAGCACAGTACAGCCCCATCACTAAGCACAGCCTGTGGACACTACCACAGTATATATCGTACTATAACAGTAATGTAGTATCAGCATTAAGTAGCAGCCCCAATGACTCAGCCTCCATGGTGCCCCACTGTGCACCCATAGCAGCAGTCTGCTCTCAAAAGGGATAGCTAACATGAAATAAGGCTTAAAATAAATACATTAATTAGTAAAACTTCATTTCACTGAGTCTATGGGCATTAGATCAGCTCTGCTTTAGGTGAAACCTTCATGCAAAGAAAGACTGCAGAGGTAAGCCCAGAAAGTCTGATGCACACAGATTGTAGATATAAAACCGCCTTCCTGATCGTGGTACAGGATTGTCCTCTCCTCTGCAGCCTGTCAGGAGTCATCATGTCGTGTCAGGAGTACAGAGTCATCATCATCCACTGGAAAACAATGCAGAAAGGGGGCTGAGCTCATGCATGCCACAAGAGCTCTGCAATATTCACTACTCAACTGGAACTTGAGGCATTGGAGATTTCCTGTCTCYGGCCACAGCAGAAGCCATAGCCAGGCACGGGACTCGGAGCCTGAAGCTTCCTGTTGCTTCAAACCTAATCCTGAGGTGATCAGGTAGAAATGCCTTTTAAGGCTAGAGAACAAAGCACAAGGTGCTGCTTGCAATGGAAGAAACTTGCATTTGTCCCTCACGGAACGGGCTTTACCTCGGACTCCCGGAGGTAGATCCCTTTGCCATCTTGCGTTAAGTTGCGAAAGGCCTCTGTAAGAGGAAGCAGGAAGCATTAACTTGAGAGCCAAGAGGTCAACACTGACTGAGATCCACTCCCCAAATAAAAAATATCCCAAAGGCCAAGTTTTACTCTACTGATAGGGGTGTGTGTATGTGTGTGAGATGGACACTGCTGAAGTAACTCTGCTATGTCACTGACTGCCCAGCAGCCTTTCACATACTGCTCTCAAACCTCAAAATGCCAGAGGCCACCACCTCTGACACCGCAGCTTGGGATATACGGGAGGTGTCTACAGTACCTGTGCTCACAGATATCAATTGTCTCATCCTCGTGCCTGCAGTCCCACCAAAGGAACATTCCAACATCCTTTGCCTCTTGGGGAAAAAAGTAGCCTCCATCTGAAGTTTGCTCACTTCTTCCACAGGGACCAAGCCACCCTACTCCGTGCAGGAAGCAAAACCACTCCAATTTGCWGGAAGTGACTAGCAGAAAGTTAAGGGGAAGATCTTGATTTCCTCTGTATCAGCCCCTTGCTCTGCCCGCTTATTCTTGTTTACCTGAGAAGAAACTCAAACTTTCTATTTAGGCCCTGCCACTGCCAGCTGGAAGAGATGTGGAAGGGCTGGGTGTCACAGGGCAGCCCAGCCCCAGCCTCACCTCCCATGATCTCCACGCGCAGCATGAAACACACGAAGCTCTCAAAGCTGATCTGCAAGTCCGGGTTGCCGTATCTGATGGCCATCAGGTTACAGACCTCATTGCTAAGTGAGATGCCTTCAGAAAAAGGGAGGGGAAAAAAAAAAAAAGAAACACAGAATAAGAGGACAACTCCCAGCTGCCAGGTCCCTGCCCCTTCTCCAACACCTCTCTACCAATCTTCCCCTAAGTTTAGCTGATAGGGACCAGTTCAAATAAGTGAACACTGAACTGGAAGAGACTTGCTAAGGTAGGCAGTGGGCTCACCGGTCTCCTGTACAGCTGCATGCAACTCCACCAAGTCAAGCCTTCCAGATCTGCTGATGTCTCTTTTCTGGAAAACTTCCTGGTTAAAATATATACATATTTAGGACAAAAACAAACAAACAAGCAAGCAAGCAATAACTTAGAAAATCAGAAAATGCCTATGAGATTGTAAGCAGGGAGGTATTATAAGGGGAAAATGCAAATGATTCACATACCAAGTAGAAAAGCAGCCTCTTCCAGAGGACTCTGAACTCCTGAATACTCAGYGTGCCAGTGGCATTCAGCTTCATGTGAAAATTAAAGTCCAAACATCTCTTGGATGGAAAYCCTTTCCCAATTCAATTCCATTCCATCACAACTGTTATTAGGGGAAGTGAGAAGTTTGATAAGCAGGGACATAGCCTCATGGCAGAGAAGTYACAGTGATACCCCATTGCCCCAAGAAATAATGCCCAGGTAAATGTATTAAATGAGTCAGAAGTATCGCTCATGTCAGGAAGGATACATCCAGGAGGGCCAAAATACCCTGGCAGGCATCCAGGCTGAACCTCAGGTGAAAGCTCTGGAAATCTGGAAGGAAAAAAAAAAAAAAAAAAAAAAAAGAAGAAGAAGAAGAAGAAAGATTATTTGCAGGAATCATTTGACAGCCCTCAGAAAAACGGAGGCTGACAAAATTCCCCCTCATTTGAGAGCACTCAGGCCCCAAAGCCTCCATGAATTTTTTCACCCGCTTGAGCAAATGCATCATTTATGATGATAAAAATATGAGGCAACAGGATGGATTCTACTAGTCTCAGAAAAGCCAGCGTGAGCTCCCTGCAGGCACACAATTCGGAGTGAAATATGGTGCACTATCGCCAGCTATTAGASAAAATGGAAGGAAAAGGACATCCAAAACTGTAATCCCAAATAAAATTTAGTGCATGACCTTCAGCAAAGTCATTTGACCTGAAGAGCTTTGGGGAACAGCACTGCAGATTAATTGAAACCCTTGTGCTTAGTGTCTCTTTCTCAAAGACACTGCCACCCTGTTAAAATAATTAAAAGTGTAGAGGCAGGAATCACTGAAAAGACATGAGAAGTAATAGAAATATACTCCAATCTTGCTGCAAATCATGATTACAGATGGTCTGTAGACTTCCTTAGAGCAGAGGACAAAACCATAACTCACCAATTCCTTCTCTGCAGAACCTGAAGATGTTTTAATCTTGCAATAGCCCTGTTTATTAAATATGGATCAAGTACTGTAAAGATTTGAAAGGAATGCCTTAAAATTGATCACTTAGCACCTCACTGTTCTCACAAATAAGACAATGCTTGGTGGGTGACTTTGGAAAGACAGACCAGCTCTACACCATCTCTGCAGAAAAGAGAGTGACATCAGACACCCTCAGCTGAAGTGGAAAGGGGATCCCATCAAGTGTTTATTCACCCTCCTTGCTGCCTGGAACTGCTGCACAGTGCATTTATGTGCTGCATGTAGCTTACATGAGTGTAGAAACTGGACAGGAAAACTGTATCCACACTCAGCTCCGACACGTCCCTGTTGCTGTTCGGGGGAGCAGCTACTGCAGCGCCTCGCTGCCCTTCAGGCAGGTACTAACAATGAGGGGCCTGTGGAGGGCTCTGGGCTGCYACTGCCACGGAGTGGATGTCACAGTCCCCACACAAGAAACACTCCTAGTGCTCAGCTGCTTCCCACAAGCACGAGTGACACTGGCACTGCAGGCTCCTGCACTGCCACCTTACCTGCCAAACACCAACACCTCTGGGGACAGGATCTCCTCTGTGCAGTGCATGGCAAGGAGGAGTCAGGAGGAACAGCACGAGCCAAGCACACCAAGATGAAGCTGAGGCCTTTGTGCAGCCTAACTCCTGCAGACCAGGCTAACTTTTTACACCTTCTAGGAGYGGGACTACCAAGATTGTCACAGTGACAAGGGGCGAGAGATGGCTTCAGAATCGAGGCTGATGTCAAGCCCGACTCTGCATCTACAAGCCTCATCTATACCTGCTCTCTCCTCTRTTCTTTCAGCAGTTGAAATTCGAAGCATGCCAGCTTCTCTTGTAAAATTTCTACCCTCTCGATTCACAGCCTGAGCAAATCCTTTCTCTTTCGGAATCTAACATTGGAACAGCCACTCCAGTCAAACTACAACCAGTTTCTCTTTTCCCAGAATTCCAGAAACAGGTGCAGGAGCTSTGACTTTTCTCTAAGAGGTTTTATTTTGCAGAAACATTATTTCTTAGCACTTACTTCTCCAAGATACATTATTCAGGATCCTCTGGAGCTGAACAGCATTTATTTCAGGATTCTGAGATATGGAAGACAACACTTTATGTATTAAATTATATATTTATATACAAAAGAGACAGAGAGAAAAAAATAAATCAGTTTCCTCTCTCCTTTGTTTCCCAACATGTCCTAATTCTCTGCTTTTCTGGCCCCTTTCCAGCCACTGTGGAAGTCAACAGAAAGAGTCACTTTAAATATAAGACTTCCCAGCCTGCAGAAGCTGCAGTTTGCTCTGGTGCAGGTTCTCAGGGCTCCAAAGAAATCAATGCAGTAGTGCAGATTTACAGAGYGAAGATCCAGACCATTAACCTTTAAGTCCTGGGGCCATCTGTCCCATCAAGCACTCTGTTGAGAAAGCTTCTTCAAATATTTCAATRTATTTTATCATTTACAAGCAAATGCAGAAGTGGAAACTTTGGAACACTTTCTTTCCAAGTTTCTCYGAGTAAAGTTTTCCCCAGTTGTTAAATAAATGTCAGTTTGTAAGATGTGGAAACTATAGTATGTTTGGTGGATTTATTTAAGTATCACTTTTCAAAACAACATCAAAAAGCCTTTTTTCAGATCATCAAGATATGTAAGGGTAACACACTGGGAAATGGCAGTACTTCCATCTCATGCTTATGCAAACTTGTGCCTGCTGGCAGCAAAAGACGAGCACCTTGCAGCATGTGACAACACCTACCACATCTGAAACTCACATCATTTTCAAAATCAAATTCTTAAAAAGTGGCYAAAAAAAGCACATCTGTTTTTTTTCCTTAGCAATATTTTAATAGAAGCTGTTCCTATCAAAAGCACAAAGGTGTTTGGGTGAAATTTTGTTTTCCAAATTCAGGGTATTTGTTAAATAAAGGCAACTTTTTCCAAAAAGTGAAACATTTGCACCTCTCAGAGCAGCTAATGGGATACCAAAGGTCAGCTCCTTCCCAGATCAGGGCTAGAGAGATCACCCAGAGTATTTATCTTGCACTAGGAGAATTACTGAACATCAGAGGTGATGGGTCTCTTTATAACTCTTTTGCCTCACAAAGCAAGCTAGCAGCCATCAACCTGTGATGAAGCAGTGCGACATAAGTGAGGGATTTTGGAGGGTGTTCTRCTCTAATAAATGACTTCCTCCAGTGAAAATAAGAATATCCTGCTGGGTCGGATAGGTCCCTGTAGCCTAGCAGTCTATTCTCAGCACTGGCAGTAGAAATGAGTATTTATGGAAGGCATGTGAGCCTGGSATTAGGGATGTTAAAAAGGACCTCTCTGTCTGGTCCTTTAGTGCCTATTTGCACTTGCTGCCCATCACTTTGTCTAACTCCTTTTGAGCCTGCTGATTCTGKCACACCAGCAGTGCTCTAGAGCAGCAAGTTCCAGGAGTTCACTCCTTGCTGTGTAGAGAGGTTCTCCTTTCATCAGTGCTAACCCATTCCTAAGCTTTCTTGGTGCTTTGCAGTCAAAGGTGCCRAATGGAATCAGTACTGTGCCTTTATCCCAACCTCTCTCTCTTCCCCACACTTTCAATTTCAGATTCTTTTGTTCAACCACACCTTTTTTACTTTGGTAGAGTTACAAAATAGCCTGGAGGACTTACCCTTTGCAGCTCATGAACGCACTTACCTGTTCAAAATGCTTTGCAAAGAAATCTTCCCAAATCTTGCCCTCATACCTATCRACAATTTCCTTCAGGGTGTAAGAAAAAATCATTGACTCAATGAAGAGAAGCGTGATCCAAGACATAACCACAGGAGACACTTTCTCAGGACTGTATTTCCTTCCCCTAACTGCCACCTTCTCCCCACCAATGCAATTAGTGCTATTGTCACTAATGCAGCTCATGGCTTGTATAGTTCCCACCCCGTAGAAACTGCCTGTAAACCTGGGTGCCCTTTGGGAAGTGCCAAACAGGAGTGCTCATAGTCTCACAGACTCTTCACAGGAAAAAGTAACAGGAAAAACCTGAAGTTCTGGACTGAAGAGAGAAGCCCAGATCTCCCATGTCAACTCACCTTGGAGAGAGTGAARCTGGGGTTCCCACCCATCTCCCTGGAATTGAGAAAAAGGGAGCACGTTAAGGAGATACCCCACAGCTACACATATCACAAGTGGCACTCCCCATTCCCAGGTAAGGACCCCACCCTGCTCTCACACTATATATTTTTTCCCTAGTATTTCAAACGCATTAGGAAAAGTGACTGTGACCACAAGGCTCCCAAGGACTGCTGGAGTTTGAATTCTCCAAGGCATCTTCTCTGCACAAGCACCCACTCCACCACTGCCAGCAAGGCCTCGTTGCAAATCAATGGTGCACTTAAAAGGGCCTCCCCTTTCCAGTCTCCAACAAGGGAATGTTGCAACAATACCCTGCAGAGGCCTAGCCCAATTCTTCCGGGAGAGAACACGGCCCAAAAGAGTGTCTCCTGCCARTCCTAAGCTAATGAAGACTCACAGCCAACCCTGCTGAGAACAGTTCTTCTGTTGTCCTCCCCATTAAAGCCCTCCCATCCCASCACCCCAAGGAATTAGCTGCCAGCAGAAGGGCAGCAGCACCTCACCAAAGGACATGCTTGCGGGAGAAGACTCGCAGGATGAACTCGGACTCCTGATGAGGCTCCAGGGTGCACGGGACAATCACATAGACACCAGGCTCCAGGTGGAAGTCCAGRGACACCTCCCGCTCATCCACAAAGAGCCGGTGGTTGTTCACAGGCTGGTGCTGAGAGAAAAATGCYGGGGGCAGCTTTCTGTTGCTCTCCTGGAACTGTTGAGGGAAGAAATAAAGACATACAAAAAAAGCCATGCTCCACACTAGCTGAACAAACGGACAAAATGCATGTGTAGAAATCACAGACAAAAGAGAGACAGCCTGCCCTGATGCTGTTGACTTCTCTGCGGAAGTGGCTGCAGGTAGGAGTTGCTCTAGAAACTGCTCTTCCCTAGTCAGAGCACTCCTCTTTTCCCATATGTACTGAGCACTTTGTCTCCAGCTTGTCCTTTGCATTAGGGATCTGGGAGCAGATGACTTTTTGGAGTACCTGTGATCTGAACACATCACAGAAGCGACCTAATCCCTATCCCTGACTATGCATGTGTCCCTCTCTGCCTAGCATCCTTGGCTCTCAGACATATTTGCAATGCCACTGAGTTCTCAGGACACAAGCCAAATAAATAAACCCACCAGCTAAGACCACTGTCACCTCCTGATCTCAGCTGCTCCTCAAGACATGTAGCCATTTAATTGCCCAGCCTGGTGGCAGAGATGCTATTCCTCTTCTTTTGTCAGCATTTTTCACACTAATAGAACAATCTTTCATCCGAGGGCTACAGGGTTGTTCTTCTCCACGCCTTGTATGTTAAATTCAAAGTTTTTATACTTCAGTCAATACCGTGTCGCTGTAATTCCAATTCCTTAGAGGTTCTTCGTTCACCACCCCTCAGTATTGATCTTGGCAACTGATACAAACCTGAAATTGAACTTCAGGCAGCCACCAACCTCCCTCCCACTCCATTATCAGGGGTCCTGCAACATTACTACACTCAGCCAAGAATTTTAACTTCTTGTAACCCTGATAGTGCCAAAGAGATTTAACACAGGAAAGACTGGCACCTTCCTACACAGTTACCATAATCTAAGTACCCTAACAAGSAACATACTGTCTTACCATACATCCAAACTAGTTCTTTGCCAGCCCAAACTCCTAGGGACTCTGACTTCAGAGTTGTTCTGAGTAGTAATGGAAGGAAGATAAATCATTTCAAGATACAAGGAGCTAAATCTTATCCTGTTTTTACAGAGCCCTCTGAAGCTGGGGAAAAAACTGGGACATATGTAGGGTGTTAACTTCCAGAGACCCTTCTTAGGTCCCAAAGGCTCTTGACTATATAAATGCTTGGCTCAGGAAGCCAGAAAAATATATGCAGCATCTGCTCCAGAGTATCCCCATGAAGGAATGAACCAGAGCAAGCTCAGAAAGGACAAAGTGCTGATGCCATTTCTAAYGCTTAGAAGGGCCCATTACAGAAGTTGAACAGATAACACTCCTATTCAGGACATTTAGGCCTTCTTCATACAGCTGCTCTTCAGAAGAGTCAGTTGGTCTCTCTGCTTTAACAGTGACTTACTCGGACACCTTACTKAACTTGAATGCACCGCTACTGGTTGTTGGACCAAGGACAAACCCAACTCACTGACACACCACCATAACAGCTGCATCAGCCCAGTTCCCTCAGGAAAGGCCAACACTGGTGACGAGGGACTCACCTGGAGGCCCATCTGCAAGGAAAAGAAAGAAACAGAGCATCTGTCAGCCAGGCAGCCCTCTGGGGCACAGCCAACACAGTCATGCTGTTGCCCTGGGAAGTGACTCTAGGTCCCGCTGGGATCTTTTCCTCCCAAACTTTAGCTCACCCACCAGAAGACCCTTCCCCACAGCATCTCTCAGTAACTGTGCACCTTGTGACAGCAGCAAGAGCTGTGGCCCTGTTCAAAGGGAGGACAGCAGCTCTGGGAGGCACTCCAATAAGCAGGGAATTTGTGGGGGAAGCTTCAGCTCCTCCTAGTGACACCTGCTTCCCTGGGAGTACACTGGGAACCTGTAATACCCCCACAGTGGCTGCAGCTGCTTCACACCAGGAATACCTCTCAAGTGTGATTTGCCACAGCTGGAAATAGCCTGAGGGCACTCATACTCTTGCCCCAAAGTAAGGAATCTAGGCACCCTGTCCAACCCCTTGCACACACTCTCAAAAAATGCAAAATAATTCTCTGAAAGGCAAAATCATCCTCTGAATCAACAGGCTTTTCTCCACTGCTCTGCAGAGTCTGACAGCCAGCTTGCTAGGGAGGTAAAATGTTGGGTACAGAGCCTGAGGGAGCCCAGTCTTCCCATGCAAGGAGAGTGGTCAGAGGTAAGGAGCAAAGAGCACCCTGTGCACCTGTGTCTGCACAGCTCTCCCATGTGCAGGGGCTGGGAAGTTTCCCAAGTTATCCAAAGAAACCCAACAAGAATGACCAGACCCTGCTTTGCACCTTGTAGAGGGAAAAGCCAATGAAATGATGACGAGCTCGGTTCCGGTGTTTGCTGCTGTGTTTCTGGATCAGGGATATAAGCACTTTGCAGGAGCCCAGGCTTTTCCTATTCTCTTCAGCTGGTAAAACTCTGAGCCAGTACTGGGGGTTCATCCAAAATGTGTCTAAGAAACAAAAGAAAAAAAAATTGGTTGACCTAGTTTTCCATCACAAAATTGCTCACTTTCTACCTACACAATGCCTGGCTCAGACTGAGTGGGTCACAAGGCACTTGTAGACCCCACAGGGGTTTCATCTTAGGATAGAGGTTACAGGTTTCTCAGTGGACCCTCTCTGTAAGATAGGGACAAAGCCCAAGGACACGAAACTGCACTTCTGCTCACCCATAGCCAAGAGTTTATTTCACTTGTAAATGTATTATCATTCCTCTGTCACCTCTGTGTCCGGGCTGTCTGACTCCATGTCCCACCTGCTCCATTTCCAGAGGGGTTGAGCACGTGCACTTTCTGTTCAAATTATTTAAAATACTACATCCTCAGCACAGTCTGAAGCTTTAAGGGACAAATCCAAAGTCCCAAAAGAGATGAGTGTTGATGRCTGATCCTAGGACTCCTGAAGCTTGTTCCATCCCATAACCAGTCCACTGCCCTATGTTCACAAGTAATGCAGCCTCTGTGGCAGCAGATGCTAGACAGGCCCTGCTAGYTGCTTATTTCTGATATTTGTGGGGAGGTACAAGGAGGAGGAGGGCATTCTGCTGCCAATTTTGTGTTAAAACATGCTGGGAGCTGAGTAAGCAGAGTGGTGTCACCTCAGAGGCCCCCAGAAGAGCCCTAAGCATCACCCACCGCTGCGRAATTCCCGGCTTCCTCCTGCTGTGCTTCCTTTAACCCATCTCCCACTCTTCAGCGAGTACATCCACTTCTTCCCATCTTCCTGGCTCATCAAGTCTGGAGTTAATTTACAGATAATCAGATCTACAAAATGAACCTTAAAATCTTGCAGAGACATCCTAGGAGAAAGAAAAAAGTGCCAGGAGACATTTTGTCAGCAGTCTAGTTTAGTCCATATGGCTTGTGAAAAGGGAAGGGAGCAGGGAACTTGGAAGTCGCAGCATCATGTGTCACATATGGCAAAACTCGTATTTCACTGGGCGGGCAAGAAGCAAATGTCTGCTCCAACAGCAGCATCTAGCAGCAGGAAACACACAGCCGAAGTTTCAGCAAAGGAGAGCAGCTCCCAGATGAAGGCACCACCACCAAGAGAGCTCAGTGCAGTGACACAGGCAGCAACATCGCCACCGCGTGGCACAAGTAGCAGAGACGCAATGAGAAAAATGAACCCAAGCACCCTACACATAAAAAGTGGGACAAAAAGCTCTTGACAGCTGCCCAGGTCTCAGACAGCGCTGGGAGGCCTGGGGAGTGCTCTGCTTCACCCTCTCTCCTGCCATTTAAGACGGCTGTGTCTTTTCCAGGCCAGCACACCTACTGCTTCTCACAGCATCGAAGGGCAGGCAGGGGCTGTTACAGAACAGCTCGCACACGCCTCCAACAAACTKGCAATGGGGAAAACCAAGGCACTGCTTCAGTTCCAAGCATAGTCCCAGAGCTACCAGGAAGAAAAGCAGGCTGAGACTATGCCATTACCAGAATTCTCCATCCTCCTTCTTTCTCCTCAGCAAAATCTTCTCCTTTGGACTCAGCAACTCCCATTTATAAGAGCTGAGGGGAAAAAAAAAAAAAAAAAAAAAAAGCCACAGAGTAAAAAAATCAAATTAGACAGCATAGTGTTCCTCTATACGAGCAGGCCAAACCCCTGACCCCACATATCTCCACATTTATCCTTTACTGAATAAGGCCCCCTATGCCTTCAGCCCATGGAGACCCTGTCCAAGCACTCCAGGTCCCATGCAATGCAAGTAAACAGCTCCAGCTTCTCTAGCAGAGAGCAAGAGTGCTCCATTTCCATCAGCCAGTCCATTCACCAACACATGCAGCCTCCAAGCGCTTAAAATATAAAATTCTAGATCTGTTTTGTTAGTTTATTTTCTATCAAAGGAGGCATAATAGGAAGAGTGTTTGGYGTAGTGAATGAATGACTAGGACACTGCAAGAGGCGGCTGGGAGTCATTTAAAGGCAGGGCTGCAGTATATTCCTCAACTACGCTCCTCCACAGCAACAGCTGTTATATTGTCACCAAGTGACAGACGTGAACCAAAATAAAGTTATCACTCTGCAGACAAGGTGAAAGTCACTCACATTCCCAACGCCTCCCTGGGCTCTTCCTTTCTCCCCATCCCCACCCCTAGACTCAGCACACAGAGTCTGCAGCTTGGAAGAAAGGAATACGCTTTGCTTTTGGGAGGAAATGGTGCTACTCTCTTTCCTGGATACCAACCAAAACATCCAGCAAACGCAAATACAGGGCAAATATTCCATCATTAACTGCTTCCTCTGATCCCATATCCCACTCACTCAAAGAGCCAGAATAGAGCTCTTCTTCACAAGCACAATTCCAACACTTTGCAGCATGTCAAGGCCTTTATTTGTCCCCTTCTGTGATAAAGTATTGTGTGTCCTAAAATACACTTTTTGTTCAAAGCCTCCTGMATAGTTAACCTGTCCCTGGGACTTCAAACGCCATCCAGATCACAGCAACACGGCCAGCATGTSATGTTCATATTTTGTTTCCTCTAACATTCAAAGACTGAAAAAGCAGGACGCAGTCCATTGAAGCAGCACATATGAAGTGAGGCCAGGAGCACGGGCACTCACCGCTGCGGATGCAATTCCACCGAGTCACTGCTTTGAGACCAGAGGGTCAGTGTAAGCAGCTGTGACTTATTTTAATGCTGCGCTCAGCACTACTTCTTGCCTGAAGATGGCAGCATATTTCCTTCAAGAGAATTCCCTTCTTGTTCAGCATGAGATTGCAAACTTAACTCACCTGTCGCTCCAGTCTCCTTTCCATTCAATTTTCCCCCATGGATTTCTCAGTCTCACTAAGTTTTCTGGTCCATAGTGACAAGTCACCTGCAGAATACAGCAACACTGTCATCACTAAGGTCTCAGCAGCGCTCACCTGGTTTAGAGCACAGCACCACATCTGACATTAATTCAGCAATGGCTTGGCTYTCACAGAAGCCAGCAAATGTGAAAGCTACAGACATGTGACTGAAWGCAAGTAGCAAGAGATTAAAAGTTTTTTCATACTTTCTATAAGCAGAGCCAGAAAGCTCACAGATTCATAACTTGGAGGCCTGCCAGCACATCCTTCCTCCTTTCCCACACCTGTTSACTCCATCGTTATGGGAAGGCAGGACTGTATTACCAGGAAAGGCAGATCCCAGCCCAAGGCAGTGGCACAGCACAAGGCAGGCAGTGGGGTGACCACACAGACGAGCACCTCGTGAACTGGSATGCCACGAGCAAAGGAGAGGCGGGCTGACTCAGGGCTGCACCGACAGCAAACAGCAGACCAGCTCACCTCCCATCTCCTCCACGCGCTCAGTCCTGTCCTGCTGCCCGGAATTCACCCTGTCAGAGGTGCCTGCCACACTGACTGACCTCAGCTGATAAAGTCCACGCCTAAACCCCTCCTGCTGCGTGCAGGGCACCCAGCCCCTCTCGCAGCCTCCCTAGTCCTAGTCCCTCTTGCTGATGCACTTGATGTGCTTTCCCTTCCATTCACAGCTCATGTCCAAAGCCTTGCAAAATCCCTTGCCACTCTTATCAACATCCTTCTGGAGCTGAACTAGATGGTCAGGCATCAATCCAGAGGCAAAGGTTAGAGTGAGACCATTTTGAAACTACTATTTTACTGTCCCATGCCTCTAGACTAGAAATCTTTAGAGGTTTCCCCGATTCATCTGCAGACCAGTAGGGTCTACCTGATATTCTCTGCACTGAAGCCCAGTCTGACTCCCTTCTTGRTTCACATTTCCCTATGTAGTTTTTCATACTTTGGCCCTTGCATTCAGTTGTCTTTACTACTGTCACCCCTCCTCTGACTTTAGGGGAACACTTCCCTCCAGGCAGGTTTCATCTCAGCCTCCCAGCATCCCCAAGGGCCATGCTCCTTAGACCTCCTTACCAGCTAAGACACATTTGTAGGTACTTACTGATATTGTCAGTAGAGTTCTTGTGAATCATTCCCACCCTGTGAGATATGCTGAGCTCCAACCATTAATTATCCTTTATGCCAAACCCACAATACCAAAACGGACAAAGGGAATATTTACACAGCGCTCATTCCCTCTTGCACTTAGATTAAGGAGGGGATTTCGAATGGCACTGAAGAATGTCCCACAGCTGCCCTGGTTAAGGGCTGAACCCATGACTGCAACAGAAACTGCAGACATCCAGACAAGCCTGGACACAGAATATTCGGGCTGTTCTTACCTTTCTAATACCAATCACCGTGTAGGCATGACCAGCAACAAGCCCATTCTTCAGGACCTTTGTTATCTGCATACAAGGAAGAGAGGCAGATATAAAATAAACCTTTTACTCTACCCAGCAGGCTCACACTAACAGCCAAGAGACCTGCACAAGCAACAACCCTCAAATAAATGAGAATTGTTTTGAACCCAAAAGAAAGGCAGGTCTGAGCTCCTAATAGTCATATTTTGCAGCGTGGTTGCAATTTGGAAGGTTGATTGGGCATCTCCTTTTGTAAACTGGGGATCTTTGCCTAAAGACCAGCTCTTTTTTTTTTTTTTTTTTTTTTTTTTTTAGTTCAAGAAGTTACATTTAGATCTGAAGAGTAGTAGGATTTACCAACAGCTGAAAGGTTGGCCTAAGGCTCAGAAGCCAAGGTTTGATGCCATGTGCTGACCTCTCTAATCCTAGCTCTAAGCTTATTCCATGACTCTCTGTCTCAATGCTCTAGCCGTAAAATTGGAACATTCACTTAACAAAAATGAGAAAACAAAGCAGGTCCTTTTCCAGCAGTCTTTTCGATAGATGAGTCACCTCTAAACATAAGAGGAAGCTAAGAGTAACAGAGAATCCATACTCTATAAGAGTGAGCAAACCCTAATAAGGGTAAGAGCAAACCCTAATAAGAGTGTGATTTACACAAAAAGTCACACGTAGCAGCATTGATTCTTTACAGGAGTCACTAGCTCAGCAGAGAGAAAAAGGTCTTGAAAGGCTCTCAGCTGTAAGGCCGTTTGATGTCATAAGTCTCACCCCTGAATGTGTCTGACAGCCCATGAGAGATCTGCTGTAGGTTGCTCTTGTCATGATATCCCACAGATCAGGAGGAGCTGCTGCCAGCTTGATCGTTACATTAACACCACCTGTGAAATCCACCAAGGCTTCTGAAACTCGCCCAATCTGCAGATCCTCATAGGAGCCATAGAGTCTAACAAAAGAGATATCAGTATATTATCTGGGATATGGTGACAGAGAGTTGCTTGAGACCAGCGTGCCAAGGAAAGCCCATAATAAAGGTTTGCAAAAGCAAAAAGGTAGCTGTAACACATGATCTTTTTTAGAATATCTTTAAGAAGAGAGGAATCTAGCAAACTGACTGTGAGGTTGGCCAYGGCCTGGAAGGAAATCCTTACTTCACTCGTTTTCATCCCAGATCTCCTCCCTGAGCAGCAGTGAGAACATGCCCATCACAACTTCTGTGATAACTCTGCCCAGTGAATGGTGCCTCAACACCTCAGCAGAGACCAGGCTCTATGTCCTGGACCTTGAGAGCTCAATGTCCAGCCTGATTTTCTTCACCACAGCCAAGCAACTTTCTCTCTCTCTCTTTTTTTTTTTTTTTTTTTTTTTTTTTTTTGTCCTAACACTACTGCCAAATGAAAAAAATACTTTCTCTCCCCTTTTGTGGTCTATCTCCCAATGTTAACTAGAATTCTCAATCACTCTGCAGAGAAACTATTTCAGTCCCCAAACAACAAGGCCCATCAGCTATGTCCAGTTGTTTCCTTCTTAGTCCTTTTAAACCACTCCAGACAAAAATCCCTGGAGAGAAGCCAGTATTCTCAGTGTATGATGTGGCCTACTGAGTACCTCAGCTTTCAGGGACCCCAGAGCAGAAATCTCTACCATGACCAAAGGACATTTCTTCCACATAGCCCCAAAATGAAACCCCTTAAGGCTTTCCACAAATTAATAATACAGCAAGAGAAGTATCAGAAATAAGTCATCTTTGAAAATCTTTAATGGAGACCTCCTGTTCCTCTGCAAGTTCATATTTGCAAAGAAGACATTTTCCCAGCCAATCCACCCCAAAACAATGCTAAACCTCAGGGGACAACCACCCAGTATAGGTATGTTTTTAGGTCTACTTCTGAACACTTTAGAACTTTTGTATAAAGGCTTGAATTGATAATATCTACAACAGTGGCAGCTTTTATCAGTTAGTAATAGAAAGATGAAAACCATTTACTACACTGCATGTGAAGCAAAGCCTAGGAGATACATTTACAAATGACAACAAACTACGTAGGCACCAAGCAACATATTTTAGAGACACTATTTGCATAACTTGGAATGAGTCACTTACTTGGCATATGCCTTCTCCAAAAGGGCTCCCCAGAACACATTCTTGTAGACTGAGGAAACGAAGACCAGCTCCCCTGCTTCATTCACTGGTAGGAGATCATCAACCACCACATCAACCCATTTACCAAAGTGCCAGAACTGTCAGGGGAAAAGAATGAGCTGCTGTTTCCTTGTAAGAAACCTCCCCTTGAAATAACAGGAAAGGCACTGGGGCTGCGCCGCAGGGGCACTCTGAGCTGCCCTGTGGGGAGGCCTGCACTGGGTCAGAACGATTTGTTAGCTCACCCAAACAGCCAACACTTTGGTCCTATCTAAATGGAGGAGAAGGCAAACGGTGCATCAGGAATAAAAGGGAGATTAAGGGAAATCTCACACAGCTGAGCTTTCGGGGATGCAGTTCCCATCTGCAGGGTGGCAGAGCCACTGTAAGMGTGAGGCAAAAAGGGGGTAAAAGATTGGGGCAAACGTGTTTGAAGGTTGTTGGCATCACATAATAAATAGAGCTGAGGATCGGGATGGAGCAGTGCCCACAGCAGCTACAGGAAGCCTGGAAGCTTAACAGGAACCAGACAGCTGGGTGCAGGAGGGGGACAGGGGCAGGACCCACACACTGAAGTGTTTCACTACAGCTTTGCGAGACTTTGGCAGGATTAAAATCAGCACTAGGCACAGCTGGAGAGATGGGCTGAGCAGAGGCAAATCCTTAGAGCATCTCGAAGCAGGGGCCATGGGCTGCTCTCCACACCAGGGACCTCCAGGCTACTTCCCCAGCAATGCAAACCACGTACAAATTATCTAAGGGTGCGACAGTTGGCACCACCAAACACGACACAGGATTTCTGAGGACCTCCTAGGTTGCTGGGGAGGAGATGTACCCGGAAGTGGAAAATGCCAGCGTATTTCCTGTCAAAGCTTTGGTTTTGTGGCACAACTGCAGCCAGGATGTCTTGGTGGAACGTCAGCGCTTCCAAGGCAGCGAGGAACCAGCAGTTCCCTGCACCGAACAAATGGACAAACACAGTTGACTGACGAGTAAGTTGTCAGCCAAGTTAGAAAAACACCATCAAGATCCCAGCAGAAGAGCTATTGTGTTGATTTCTTTAAAAATATAACGACGTATGAACTGAGATGGTCCAGACATGCACTGTACTAAACAAGACTCTTTTTGTTTTGTAATTGTTCTCTCGTGATCTTTTTGTTTGGATAGTGTGTGATTAAATATGAAATCTAACAAGAAATAGCTCTCAATGGAAACATCCTGTTTTCATTGACATTATAGGTTTTTTCCTGTTCTCTGGAGAACACATTATTAGAAAAAAAAAAAGACTTTTTCTCTTTCTTTGAAAAAATAACTTCTCACAAGAGAAAAATCATTTTTAATGGATCTCACAGACAAGATTGTATTTACCAGACTTTGTGTCTAAGGGATTAATTAATTTAGCCTTGATCCTACCTGTTTGGCAGATACCAATATATCTTTTTACCTTGGGTAACAGAAGTGCAAAATTGATTTTTGCAAAGCTAGGAAGAGAATGTACCCACGCTATCTAAGTCTTACGTACACAGATAGCGTGAGCCTCCCATCTTCCTGCCTCTGTGCTCTCTGTTCAGTTGTCAAGCAGCAACATCGCGGACCAAGAGGTGCACACAGGCCCTTCCTGTTCCAGGACTAGCAAGCACTGAAGCAACAAAGTGCCACTTGCAGCTTGTGGGGACACCTCTCACCCAATAAACCCCACAGTGAAGCTTGCAAGGCTTTCTGATGAGTTTGGTCCATCTTATTAATTCACATTCATGCCAACAGAAATAATTAGAATATGTGTACCCTCTATTTGTATACTTAATTTTCTAGTCAAAATTCTTCTCAAATGTTCTCTTGCATATAAATATAYGTACATACTTAGACAAAGGAGCTTCCTTACCCACTAATCCTTGGCAGAGATCAAGTTGCTTTCTGTTTGCAGCATAAAATACTGGACTGCTATGTAAATCCTGGGAAGCACAAGACCAAAAGGAAGAGAGCCAAGTTAGTCACAAGGGAGATGCCTGAGCCTCAGGTTAGGGAATCCCTGGCTACAGAGGTTGATTTCATGAAATGAGATATCCAGTGTGTTCCAAGACKGGGATGTAAAAACCTCGTGGCTATGTGGCCCAAAACACTCTGCCCCTTCAAAGTCTCTTCACAATACTCAGGCAGGGTAGCCACGCTCCAGCAGCTGCTATTCTGGCTAAGCTCTAACTCTGTTGTTACCACATGCTCTAACTTGACCCAAGCCTGGGCATGCATTTGTGGTTGGTCCACACTGAATTTGGTCTCTGAAATAAGCCCGTGCTGCACAGATGCTGCATCAACAGCCACCAGCTCCTAGCGTGGCTCAGGAGTCTCTAGGCTGAGTAGAAATTATGCAGGTGAGAGATTAGAGTGTCTATTAAGGCATTACATATATTCYATTTAGCCTCCCATGTGGGCGCTTATTTAAGAATGACTGTCAGTGCAGCTCAGTCACTTYAGGGAGGCCTTTCTGCAAGCACATGCACACACAAAGTCTTTCACATAAATGCCAACAAAACTGACAAAACTGTATGAGGAGTTTGAGCTACTCTGGCTTAGCTTCACCAGTAACAGTGGACCATGACGTGTGATTACCCTGTCTCCTGGGGTGATGGGACCAGCCCTTGCAGAGCTCAACTACTGCAACCCTTAGGTGTCTTGGCTGGCCTCTCCACCCCGCTCTCAGTCTCCTCCACCAGCCCTGGGAGTTGCACACTGGCACACCAGGCCCTGTCCTCTCACATCTCCAACTGCTCTGACTGACAGCTGAGCTCCACAGTAACCGACGCCTGCTAAAGAAATTTCTCTCACTGGGATAAGAGTGGGTTTATGAATAATTGCTCAGAAAGAAAACACATTATTCTTTCCCTCTCACAAGTGACTCTAGGGTCAAATTAATAACCTAAGCATCAAATTTTTGTTCCACTGTTACGGCCCACAAATCACTCAAGCTAATTTTCACACTGTTGGCTTCCTCTTCAGGCAGTAGCAGAAAAATGGCAAATCCTCAAAAGGCATTTATAGTAATTAGACACCAAACCCCATCACTGACAAACTTGGGTGTCTAGTTGGCAGACTATCAGTCATGGATGCAGCAAGCTGCAAGCCTCCAGGCTCACTGGCACCATCTGAGCACTTTCTCTGCAGCACAGCAACTGGGATACAGAGCATCCTTCCTCAGGGAGTCACTGCAGTCACTGCCATTTGCAGCCTTCTTCAGGAGGGAGCTTCTGAGGCTTCAAGCCCATTCCACTATTTCTGGGACGGGAGGGACAGAATTACAGATGTGATGGACTTTTGAGGCTGGGGTTCACATTTGCCTTCCCTTCCTAGCTCCCTCTTCTCTGACGTGGCTACCTCTGCCTCTGTGCCTGGCAGAACCCAGCTTGAGTCTTGCAGGATCCTGCCTCAACACACAGCACAGGTGCCACTGACATATACAAAACCCTGAGAAGCAAGGCTGCCCTTGCCAAGCTCCCCAGCCTGCTTGGCAAAGGTGTCTCTACTTTCTTGCTGCATCTTTTGAGTTTTCCAGGAATACGGCCCTTCTAAAAATCAGTTAAATCAATGCTAGGGCATAACTTCACTAGGAAATGCCATCCACTCTCACCCAGCAGAATTGCCTTATGGACCCAGGACCATAAAGAGTCATTTCTCAGATATATCTATAGACCATTTACAGGAAGATCTCTCAATTTGTTGCTCAGCGGCCCAGTAAGATGCATATTCCTTTGTTAGCAAGAGGCCAGACTTTAAACTCACAAGCCTTATGCTAACGGTGCCAGGCCCCACTTATGGCCTGTTAGATTTGTTACCAATTTGTTTTGAGAACTTGCTGTGTGAACAGAGCTTGATACCAGGTGCCTCTTGTTGTGACCTACTGCTTGAGTGTAGGCTAACAGCAAAGGCCTTGAAAGTATGGGCACAAGTTGAAAACAGAGGCCTCAGAACTAAAAACAACTCATTGACTAGTCACTCACTGGCAGCAAAAGCTCAGCCTTGAGGGCTGAGGGRAAAACACACTAAGTAAAATAATGAGAAGACTAAACAATTAAGCAAAAAAAACAACAGCCCAACAAGAGGATAAGGCATCTGTGACTGCCTGTGAAAGTAACAACCTCAGCATCACAAAGTATGTCCAGAGGACAAGGGCCAAAGGCCTCTGAAAACTCTCTGAAAACTCAGGCATCTTCTAAAAAGTCAAAATCCTGAATTTGGGCAGGGGAAGGAATCACTACGATGAGAACTGTCACCAGGGCATCACAGCAGGCTCCAGCTCCTGCAGCTGCAAGCAGGACTCTTGCCCTGAGGCCACAGCTCGTCTGCTCTTCCCCTCCCCTGCTGTCCCTCCCTGCTTCCAGCATTACTGCCTGTAATCCTAATGAGGCTGCTGCTCATTTGGCATCAAAGGCTTCAGAGGCAATCGTGAAATGACACGTTCCCCAGCTTCCACATAACATCTSATACAACATGGGCAATGTCCGAATGCTTTAAGGTACATCTAATTAAAAGACTAAGAGTAGGTCGGTTCTAAGACTAAGAATAGGTCAAGTCTAATACTGTTTGCTAGCTACCAGCTCTAAGCATTCACTTGCATGACAGCGTTCACTGAAAATCACTCACATGTGGCCTCTTCCACTGCAGCTTTGGGGGGAGTTTCTTCAGCAGTGCCCCCATCCCGATGGAGCTGATGTGAGCAGGGAAATTCTCATCTGTGAACAGGCACTTACTCTTCAAGCACGTCTCTAGCAATGCCTGGTAGTTCTGCTGGACCGGAGGGTTGTGTTTCTGGAAGACACTCCTGCCTAAGGGCATGGGTGACTTCTTCTTCCTTAAGCAAGGCAGCAAAGGCATGGTGATGTCCACCGCAAAGCCAGGATGAATTTTCCACGGAGGATCCTGCAGGGATCTAAGCCCTGCACAGTCCTAGTCAAAACTCCTTATTTCCTGGGATGAGGTGTCTTCTCCAAAAGAATTCCTGATTGCTRAAGTAAATACAAAAAGTAAAATTAACTCTGGCTTTTTAAATTTTCTCTTTAGCCAGCAGGGGAGGATGACACTCATAGAAGCGGGAGATTTAACAGCTTCTAATCTATCATCTGTGATTGTGCTCGAGGCTTCAAATTCACTGTAGATCCGAGTGAAGTCAAAATGAACAGCCCCACTGACTTACTGACTCTGAAGCGACACACACAGCTGGTCTCTCTCTCTCTGGACTTTAGGCTTTCCAGGGTGTTTTCAGATCATGCTGCAACATAAATGACAGTCCCTGAATCACATTCACTCATACGGACATACGGACATTTCCTCCTCCCCAAAAGAGGGGGAGAGAGGAAAGAAAATGAGGGTACACATTTTAATACAATCCAAAGCATAACAAAACGTGGAACATATTAGCCTTCAACGGTTATTTCAACATCTTTACCTCATCTTGAATAATGATACAAGTTCCCCTCAAGAGACTGCATTCCATCTTGCTGATTACCACAAATCCACACATAAAACTGCATGCCTGCATCAGAGATTCTTCTCCTTGGAATATTCAAGACAGCTGTTTCTCACTGCCCTGATAAAAACAGCTCAGTGATTTCATAAACCCCTTTTTTCCTACAACAGACACGTATGCTAATACTGGTAGCTCTGCTGCACATTACCAGCCATCACCTTTTGCTGCAAGGGGTGGGCTTGCATGGAACAGGACTGCAGAATTTAAAAAACATAGTAGATAAAGCATTGCCACCAGCGGCAGCAAGGAGAGCACAGCCCTCTTACCTGCAGTGCTGACTGCAGAAATGGTTCACGTTCCACAGTATTTGGAAGGCTTCCCTGTGGACAAGGCTCTGTGCTCAAGAACAGGTATACTTTTCTCTAGATAAAACATAGTTTCTCCCTCAAGACCTTGCTTGATGCTCACTGACGTTCATGGCTACAGCATGAGCAACAGCCACGGAGAAGGAATTAAGGCAAGAGGGGAAAAAAAAAGGCCTGGAGACTATTCTCCATGTGGATAGACAGACAAAAAAGGGCTGAAAAACAAACCCTCATTTTGATGCTCCCTAGGACAAAAGGGGCCAGCAACCGCTGTACTGTGAGCCATTCTGAACAGTAAATACTTGAGATCTGCTTTGCAGATAAGCATAGTGTCCATAGTGCCAGATAAAACAGCTGCAACCAGCTCACACCGCAGATCAGTATTTATTTGAAAAACACCTAAGCCTTACAGATAGGCTTCAAAATCCAGAGGTGAATGAAAAAACAGGACTTCCAAAATGATTGCCTGAATCACCTGAATATGCAGCCTCATTTCCAAGAAGCTGAGCTGGCAGCCCCTACCTGACACAGTGCATGCCCAGAGTGAACGATGCGAACACTCGGTGTGTTTTGAAAACCTCCCACGTGAACCCAGGGGTAGCTGTTTTGACTTCTGTCCCGAATCACCTGGAAATCTTAGAGCATAGGATGCAATGAAGCATTTTATGCCATGACCAGTCACTACTTATACACCTACAGTATATTCCTGGTGTTTAACCCCCTGTTTGCTGTCTAGCTTTAGAGCCATGTGTAGCAAGAGGCCAGAAACAGCTGCATGTGACCAGCCAAAATGTGCCTGCACGTCCCCTGTGTCCACACAGCAGGTTCCTGTGCTGGACGGTCAGCGCTCGGAGTGCTCCACCACGTCCTCTGGCCTGGGTGGAGCAGACTGTGCGTGTGTCTGTTCCAGCCATCGTAACTTCTAAGGGAGAGCAGCCAAGTGTAGTAACAGAGGTTAAAAGCTCTACATGGAAACTGTGAATGAGTAGTCTGGGCGGATCTGATCCTGTGTGCTTGCACATTCCTCCCGTATGTTTGCTGCCTGATCTAACTCCTTCCACTAAATTAGCATCCTATGATCTCCCTTGACCTTTCTCAGCATCTCAGAGGTCACGAGGTGGCCTAGTCCCTAAGTCTTAAGATAAGAATCTGAAGAATTCACCGTGTTTGCTTTTAGTAAGAGCAATTAGATCATGAAATAATTCTCTGAGAACATCCTTCTCTGTCTGTGAGAGAATTTGGAGTTAACAGGTCTGCGTCGAGGCTGTAAAGCCACCCCACACTGTTTACAAGTACCAAGCGTTTCCAGGTGAAATAATAAATTTAAGAGTGAACAATATAAATAATACAGCATCATTTTTTACCTCACTCTTGACATATAGTAGAGTATTAACTTAAAAAAAAAACACCAATTATTCAAAACAAATGTGACTATATGAAGCATTGTTAACCATTACCAGTCTCTAACATTCATGATGAAAATAGTACTTGCAACTACAGCCTTAATCTTTGATTAAACATAGTGGTATAATTCAGAAAAAAAAACCTCAAAGGTGACTCCTGCTCTTTCCACGGGCATTTTAGCAAATAGCACTACTCTGAAAACAAAAGCTGAACCATATTTTCCCACAAAGTAGACGGACCTACTAAAAGCTGGAGGACGCCCTGAACTTCCTGCGCTGTGTTATTGGCCCAAAAGGTGATGAAAACTTTTTCTGGTGCTGAGCCTGTCAAGGCAGCACAGAGAACCTGACATAGTCTGTAAATAACAAGTCCACAGCAGAAAAGGCTGTGTGTGGTTTACAGAACCATAATTAATAACTCTCCAGGCAAAGACACACTCTTAAAGACTTTGGCTGAAATTTTAAAATTAATATTCTTTGTAATACAAATTGTCTAAATTCCACTGAAATTAGTGAAAATCTCATTTACTCCAAATCTGCTCTGTCCTTTAACACTTAAGGTTACAGTATCCTAATTATCATAGATCCTGACTATCGATAACTCCAGCTAAAATTAAAAGAACCTTTTTATCTCTGAAGAAAACTCTGTGGCCAACTATCCGCCAAACTGTCTCTAACTAGCAAAGCTGAGAGAAAGGTGCCTGAAAACCAGGCTAGCTGAAACCCCAGCCTGTGTTCACAGACATTTAGGCCACGGGAACTTTGGGAGCTGTGGCAGGCAGTGCAGCTGACATGATTCTAGTTTCTTTAAATCACACCCATTCTTCTCCTGCTTGTTGATAGGAACTTTCTGCCTTCCCCTTTCATCACTTCCACAGCAAAGTACAGCAGCAGCTGGTCCATTCAGTACGGCCAGCAGCAACATGTAACTAATACACCCCTCAGACCCGAGAGGACAGCTTTATTTGACTACCATGTGCCTGTGAAACAGTAATAGTTACTTTTCTTTTAATGCTTTCTAAAATCTCAACCCTGGGGAGGCTGCAAACAGTAGCTGAAYGTCAGCACCAAGTCAGTCTAATAGTACATAGAGTTTGATGTCCTACCTTCTCCAGGTGTGTCCTCACAGCATGGAATAATGGTTCCACTAGTGGCAACAACAACTGCTTATATATGGTATATGTGTTACCTCTACCTGTGCATTTGTGTGTGTACATATATCTTGTCCACGTAACCCTGAGAGCTAGACCTCACCAATCAAATACGGTGATAGAAGAAGGAGGTGGGGAAAAAAAAAAGATGTTGTGCAACAGCAGAAAATTTCGGGAAAGCTCAATGAAAACTGTCCCACAGAAGGCATGAAAGAACAGGTCAGTCCATCACACAAACTGAATTTGACTCATCCAGCGGAAGGCGGCTTCCTTGTTTTGTTAGCCATTACGTTATTCAAGGCACACAAAAAAAAAAGCCAGTTCTCTATTTGTCACTGACAAGGTAGAATGCGTGGATGCATTTGACTGCATCTCGACCCACTTTAACCAAACTTCTGCTTTCAGCCAAGGAAAGAAATCACAAAGGAAATACTCTCAAACCCCTCCCCAAAGGTCTACATACAATCAGRGCATGTAGGAGTACATCCTCTCTACTTTGTCAAGCAGTAAACAGTTAACATTTATATATATATATTTATATATATATAAAAAAAAGTCTGATGGAAGTACATTTCCTACCACTGAGACATCCAAGAGTTACAGGAGAAACCTCCAATCTTCTGCACTGTAAKGACTGATGAAGTCTCAGGTGATTTTTTTCTGGTACAATTACGGACATCACTTCGGATTATACATCCCATATCTGCAATACAACATTCTTTCTTTGATTTATATATTTAATATGCAAGCTCTTTGGATGTAAAAATACTTCTCACTCACTGTATATATGTTATCCAACCCAGTGTTATCCTTTCCGGGAGCACTTCTGGGTACCAGCACCTTGTTCTACCCCAAGTATCAGACAGAAATGAGCAGTATGGAGCATCAAGGAAAAGGGCAGTGTATGAGAACCAAGTTACCTGAGAATCATGATAAGAGAAACATATTGGGAAATACTTCAGAGGAATACTTAGGAGCAAAGCGGGGCAGGACAGGGAGGCAGCAACTTTCCAAATTTTAAAGGCAAAGCAACGAGGAAGGGAAGGGACAGACTATCCTGGAAACAATTCTATTCCTAGGCCTCAAAGCAGCAGGTTTAGAAGTTTGCTCTAAATGAACTAGGTGAGTGTCCTTCCCTTATCTACCAAATTGATGTATTTGGTTTAATTCTGGGGGCCTGCTGCCCCTTCCTCTCCCYTGCCCCACCGCACAAACCCTGGTATTCCCTGTTGGACCCATCACTACCTGAACTTTTCACACTTTGTGCCTATTTGAGTTTCTTACTTGGCAATGAACAAGTGGTAACTATAATTTACCAGCAGGAAATTAATTTTCTAAACTACACTCTTTCCCCAAGCTTCTTGAAAGTGTCCAGACTTCTGTGGTACTTACTGAGTCACCACATCTTTGCAGAACTCGGTGATTTGCTCATGTGCCCAGTCTCTGATGACGTTGTCGGCAGAAAACGTCTCTGATTTAAGGCAGGGAGATAAGCAAACACAGGTGTCACAGTCATTTGACTTCACACAAAACCAGTTTCAGTTAAACAATGCTGTGTTCCACCTCCAGACTTCAGGTTTCATTTTTAACACAAACACTGCGTGACTTGCGTGCTGCCTCATGCACTTCCAGCAGCCTCTTCTGTAGCAAAATCTCTCAAACTGAGCACCTAGCGAAGTGACTGTCTGCAACCTCAACAGCAGGGACAKGGCTTGGAAATACAGAGCTGAAAGTTTAATCTGCCATAACTTGAGCAAAGTCCTTTCAAAATAAGGGCTAGAGCAGACCTACCTCCTCCCATGAGTATCAGAAACATGTATGTTATGGTCACTGCAATATACTCATTTCTGGGCAGGGCATTCAAGAAACAGCTTTTCTTTTTGAGCTGCTCAGAAACTTGCAACAAAAATAGCCCTTTTCCAGCATTGTCCTTTAATGAAAAATCACTGTTTGGAAAATGCTTCTTTGCTTTAGGTCTTTTTCTGCTTGCAAAACCCATCGCTTTCAGAAATATTTTAAAAGTATTTTTTTTCCTGATGACTGCCTTGTGGGACCAATCTCACCAACAAAACAACATTTATCAAAATGTGTCCTTCATTAGAAATGAAAAGGAATAAATAATAAAATCAGATTTAAATTTTAATTCAAAGTTTGCAAAAAAAAAACCCGTCTTTTCCTAGTTTTACTTTTGTGTGTGTGACCAGCTATATATTTCCACAGTAGGCAGAGTCCTTGAAGAAGTCAGTCTTCCAGAAAAAAAAGACTGAGAAATAGACTGAAAAGAGAGATAAAAGTGTGTAATATTTAGAAGCTGACTAAAGAAAATCCACAAAAATTGCAAGGATCAGTTGCAATTGGCACAGAGAAAAAAAAGAACAGAAGAAAGGGCTCTCTTCAGAAACTGCGGGGTTTATTTTGGGGGGGGACATTTAGGCATCAAGCATAAATATTTCTGACAAGTTAATTGCTCATACCTATCACTGTCTTGTATACGTAGGACAACCATGTCACTGCCTACCTGTATCAGCTAGTTCCCATAACCTGCACAGCAGAAATCTTTCTCACTCTTCTCTCCCATTCATTGCGTTCAGGAAGAGCATCAAGGTGTTCTAGGGAGATTTACAATCAAGGACTTCCTGGCCTGACCTTTATTCAGCTCTGAGAATACCACAGGAAGACACTAAGGAGCAATAGAGTTGTAGAAATAACCAGAATAGCATCTGAAGAACACAAATCTTAAATGGCAGAACTATCTGGAAGATGAAAGTGATTTTTTTTTCCTTACAAAATGAGAAATTCTTGTGAAACTTGTTGATTTCCACAGGGTCTTTCAGTTTCAGAAATTTTCACTGGAAACAATTCATCAGATTTTTCACATCAGACTCTCAGTCTACTTAAAAAGATTTAAAAACATTATTTTCACTTTCAAATTAGCTTTAGATACTGGCAGCAAAACAGAGAAGCTTGACCTTCAGAAAATATCACCCATTTACTATTTTAATTCAGGAAAAAAAAAAAAAGAAGAAAAATGGTTCCTGGAGTCATCAATGTCACCTCATGGGTCAGGCTCACAGAAAAGCTGCCTGYGCAAACGCATGAAACCACAACATGAGAACCACCAGGAAAATACAATAGTCAAACGCATAGAAAGAGACCTTGAAAGTATGTACAATCTTTTTAGCATTCCTAGGTCTGTCTTTGGACTAGAGACAGCTAGGAGACAGAAATATGTTTAGCAATAACAGTCTTATTACCTCTGATTCGATCATTCAAATGTAAAGATCAATTCCTGCTTGTGTGTCCTATACCAGACACACAAGGCTAAATGCATTGTGCTCTTTCCTTATCAAGAAGCAACTGCATTTAATGCAAATTTACATGTTTGTGCCAAGCAGCATGACTTATTCCCATCCTGAAATAGAGCTGCACACAAGAGGCTGGGAAAGGGCAAAAGCCTATGACACGACGGGCCCTTTTCCAAAGCTGCCTCTTGCCACATTTTTTGGACTTGGTGAAGAAACTCAAGTGAAAAAAAAATAAAAAAATAAAAAAATAAAAATAAAAAAGCTATGTAGAGATATTTCAGGCAAAGTCCCCACTCACAGAGCCTTGTCCCAACAGCTCAGCCATAACCAGGGCTGCCTGGCCTTGCTGCGTTAGCGCTCATGGACATCCCTGAGCACGTATGGAGCCATGGAGCAGGGCTAGAAAACCTGTGCAACCGGAGCAGGCTTTAGTCCCAATGTCATGGCATTCACTCTTCAGCCRCCCAGTCACCCTCAAGGCTGCAAAAATAAAAGAGGGCAGACAGCTATTAGCTTGCCTATCTTGCCTGCTTAAATGGTGAATTCTTTTGTGCATAGACTTCCTTTTCTATGTGCTTTCTGTGAGCCCAGCACCAGGGAGAAGGCATGAACAGGGGCATTAAGAGTTATTTAGGGGCATTCAGAACTGTTAAAAATCACATCAGGGCAGATAATGCTCTCGTGCATGGCAAAGGCACCTGCTCCTACAACCACTGCAGCTTTCTGCCTTGGAAARCCCTTGTGGGAGAGCAGCCGCCAGGACACTGCTGCTCTCGGGAGACTGGCAAGGGCAACAATCTGAGCACTCGTGAGGGAACAAACTCCCAAAAATCACTGCKTCGCACAACTAGCCCTCACCGCCGGCAGAGAGGCTGCCAAGMGGCAATGAAACACCCGTTCAAGCTACATTTAAACAGCGTTCCCACTCATTTAAACAGCGCCAGCATTTATCCCAAAGCGGGTCAAAACCGCGAACAAAATGGCGGCGGGGCCGGCGGGGCGCGCGGGGCGCAGCGCCCCCTCCTGGCGGCCGCTCGCGCGCGCGCCCCGCCTCAACATGGCGCCGCCCGGCGCGGCTTCAGCCGCCGCGGAGAACGGGCGGCGCCTGCCAGGAGCCGCCGACTTCCGGCGCCGGCCCCTTTCCTGCAGGGCCGCCCTTAAACGCCGCCCGCCGCGCGCAGGGCGCTGCCGCCGCCGCCCGCCCCTCCGCGGCATGAGCGCCGCGCACCAGCGGCAACCGCAGCGGGAGGCAGCGCCGCCGCCGTGCCCGTGCCCGTCCTCGCGGCCGCCAGCAGCCGCGGCGCGCCCCGCGTGAGCGCCCAACGGCCGCCGTGCCGCCCGGCCGGGGGGCCATGCGCCGCTAGCCCGAGCCGCCACCATGTTCAGCTGGCTGGGCACCGACGACCGGCGGCGCAAGGACCCCGAGGTCTTCCAGACGGTGAGCGAGGGCCTCAAGAAGCTCTACAAGAGCAAGCTGCTGCCGCTCGAGGAGCACTACAAGTTCCACGAGTTCCACTCGCCCGCCCTCGAGGATGCCGACTTCGACAACAAGCCCATGGTGCTGCTCGTGGGCCAGTACTCCACGGGCAAGACCACCTTCATCAGGTAGGGCCGGGCCCGGCTCCCCTGCCCTCCTCCCGCCGCCTGCGGGAGCCCCTGGCACGGGGCGCCGCAGGGCTGCCCCTCGGCGGGGCCCGTGGTCCCCTCACCGTGCCTTAACCGAGGGGCAGGGAGCAGCCCCCGTGCAGCCAGCGCCTCCCKCTCCCAGCTACGTGGGGAGCTGTGGAGCGGAGGGTTAAAGTCTTTTTATCCCCCGCTTGCGCTGGGCTCAGGCGCAGGGCGCTCGGTGCTGCYCGGCCCGCCCGCAGTGCCTTTCTCTGGGGATCACAGCTGAAGCTGCTCTGTCTGCATTTCCTATGTGATTCATAAGCTTGGTGTTAAACTCCCGCCTAACTCTGGCGGGGCTCTGTCGAAATCCGTGGCATTACCCGGCGCAGGCCCGGATGCGGCCGCGCTCCTTTGTTCTGCGGGTGTCTCTTGGTGGTGGAGGGGCAGGGAGAGGTGCATGGAGGTGGCGGTGCCTCCCCGGGAGTCACCTTGAGCAACGCAGGTAGTTGTACGTGCCGTGCCACTCGTGCAGAAAGCGTTTCCGCTACCTTGTCAGTCCCGAGTCTGGCCAACAACGGCTAATGCTCCCAGCAGGGGTCAGGTGGATGGTGAAGGGGCATAAAGTGACCCTCATGTGCCTCTTTTTAAAGCAGGTGGTTGGAAGGGGAGGATGGGGCTGCTCCTCTGGAGATGGAGGGGGCTGACTGGGGCAGTGTGACTTGGTACCAGACCTGTTTGAAATGCTTTTTCTCACCTCTGGGATACCAGCATCTCAGCACTGAGGCAAYCCTGGGCTATTTGCTTGCAAGTAGAGCATCCCTTCCACGTGCTCCTTTCTGGACTGCCAACATCGGCCTCTCCCTGCAGCTTCACCTCTGTACTGATGCTGGCTGAGTCTCCCTGCCTTGGCCCTGTCTGTTGCGTGAGGTCCTCTTTAATGGCAGCCAAAGCTCCTGCAGCAAGAAGTCRGGCTGCCTGAAACATCCCAGGCAAAAGGCAAAGATGGACCTTTGCTTGTGTGGGAAGGCAGCAGCCTCACACTGCTTTCCTTGAGTTGAGGTGCTCTCCAGCCAGCAGACCTCCCTTGGTGTGCAGGACTGGCATGAGTCAACTCAAGGGTTAGGGTCAAGCAGAAGARGCCAGGAGCTATTTCCTCACAGGGTTTCAAAATGCGACATGAGAAGGTCTCCCAGAAAGGGAGAGGTTTCCCAGCACAAGGCAGTAAATGAGAAAGTGAAAGCTGGGCAGTGCTGAAGCACATGTGGGTCCCTTGCAGTGGGAGAAGTACAAGGGCATAGGACTGCAGTGTAACCCTGAGCACACAGAGGCAGGAGGGGCTGGAAAGTGTCACTTGTGATAGGCATCCAGCTTGAGATGCAAGCCCTGCTCTTTCGGGAGCAGGGATAAGCGCTGGATTAGCATCCAGAGTTAGTGTGGGAAGGCGAGTGGAAGCTAAAACCAAGAGCAGGGAGGAGTTAAAGAAAAGGGGTGGGGGGGGATGGGAGGGGAAGCAACCATTATGTCTTGGTATTGGAATGAAACAAGAAATGGCTTCAGGACATCCCTTCCATAATCCTGTCAGCGCAGGGGACAGCTGATGTTATTCCCAAATATCCATCCTCCTTCACTTCCCACTCTGCTAGTGATGGGATGCAAATAGGGGATGTGGCACCAAACACTTGAGTGGCGGGAGCTCAGTGCCACTTCACCCCTGCGTCCCAGAGCACCAATTTAAAGAATGTGTCGCCTACTGTAGAGCTGGATCTAACTCTGAGACGTCTTCCCTTGCTGCTGGGGAATCTGAACTGAAATGAGGAGGGGGGAAAAAAGCAAGACTTAGGGGAAATAACTAGTTAGAGCCTCTATGGAGAAGGCAGGCAAGCTGCAGCCTGGTGCAGTGAGACTGCTCTCTCAGGGGTGATGAGGGAAGCAAGACAGCTAAGGTCAGCTGYGAGAGACATCCCTAGCAGCCAGAGGAGGCAAGGCAAGCTGGGCAGGCTGAAGTGAGACTGAAGCACAGGTTTCTCTTCTGTGCAGCTGGTCAGCTCTCTGCACCAGTATGTAAGACATAGTCACAAACTGCAGCTTCCCCTTCCTGCTGCATCCGCTGTCCTCCCTCACCACCCTTTCTCTCACCAGCATCAACCTGGCGCAGACCCCAATCCTGCCCTGGGGCCTGGTCRCAGGGGGCAGGTGGTGCCTTTACCTGGGCCGTTGGCTGCTGTGGCTGTCGGTGCTCCCCTGCCTTCTGTAATGTTACCCCTGTTGATGCTTCCTGTAAGAGGATGGGAAGGCAGGACATGACACTACTCTCCTAATTAACTTACATTCCATGGTCTTCTCTAAAAATAATCCTGGCTTCTGTCCAGCCATCCTGTTAATAAAATAAACAAGCCAGATAGAGCCCTACTAGCAGTCAGCCTGACTTGCTTGCTTTTCTTTCCACGCAGCCRCCCTTTCCTCTCGCAGCTAATCATTTACACGTCCTGGCCACACTCTGCAGCAAGCAGTACTGATCTGACCTCCCCGGTGGCCCTGAACCTTTCATCTCTGCCTCTGGCCACTTCCTCCCGCTCCTGTCYGCTGCCCTCCTTCCCTTTTCCCATCCTCTCCACCCTGCTGCATCACCTCTCCTGCACACGGCATCCTGCACAGCTTCTCCGTGACTCATCGCCAGCACAAGCGGGCTCCCTCCCCCACATCCTGCGGCATTCCTGCCCGGAGAGCCTGGAATCTCCTCCTGGCAGCTGAACTCTGCTCCCAGCTTGGACTCTGCTCCCAGCCTAAACTTGTTGGAAAAAGGATGCCCTAGGCCAGCCCCACTGCTGCTTCCCTGCGTTTTCCTGGGAGCTGGAAGTGCTCTGCCTGGAGCAAACGTCTCGCTGCTCCCAGCTCTCCCTGCTGCAGGCCTTTAGCTGCGGGCTGTAGATGAGTGCTCGTGTCCCTGCTGGCACCCTCTGCAGCGTGGCTGGAGGTGGCAGGGGCTGCTGGCAAGGGTCATTCCCCACAGCCTTGCAGGTGTTCGGCTTGGAGGGAGCACCCCACACTGGAGCAGGGATTGCCCTAGAGCTGCTCCTCACTGTTACARGCATCTCCCACAAGCCCTTCAGTCTGCAGTTTCCTCCCCAAAATCCCCCCAAACTGCAACAACTGCATCATGTGCTCGACTGTCTCTGTTAGCAGAGGCAGCCTGCACTGGTGCCCAGCGCGACTGCCTTCCTGCCACCAGACAAGTGTCAATAGGTCCCCTTGTATTTGTCCTGAGCACAAGCAGGTCCTTGTGCTCCAGCCACCCTGCTGTAAGGGCACCCAGGGAAGCTCCACTGGAAGATTGCTCCTAGCTGRTAGCGTAGCAGCTATTTTTTTCCTCTTGGATTTCTTACCACTTGTTGCACATCAAGTCAGTTAGCACTAACTTAAATCTCCTGTAGATGAGTGCTGGAGTTGCTGCTTCACTGTTGGGTTTTAAGTCTTACATAAAAAATAAACACAGAAACACTTTGAAACAGCAGATGAGTGGAGCTCTGATAAAATTCTTTCAAAGAGCCTGGCTGGAGGAGTGGTGYTATTTAATGGAGGGCTTTTGCTTAGGCATTCTCAGAAACTCATCTATAAATGACAAACAAAACCCACAGGCTTTTGTTCTGTTGCCCAAGAGCTATCATGTTGCTTGTGTATAAAACAAATGGGTTTTTGTTACGGTAAGGCTGAGACCTAGTGGGCAAAGTGCTCAAAAGTACCTTGCTTATCTGTTGCATTTGATAGTGATAATCATTACCTATTCCTTTTCTCTATAATATTTGCAAGAAGGAAGACCCAAAGATTTAACTGTATACGTTCAGTAAAATCTTTGGGCATTCTGGGTCAGATCAAATGAATGTACAAATTAAGAGCAGAGAAAAGCTAGTATCAGTGATACCATTACAGAGATGTCCATCTGTGAGCTAAGGCCTAAGCTCAGTTTCCAGGTTCTGTCCAAGCAGACGGTTGCACCCAGCAATTGGTTGTGTCAGTGCAGAGACTGCTGCAGGAAGGGAACCAGGAGTGCTCCCATGGTGGGCTACAGACCCTCCATGGGAAGAGAGCACTTTGTCCTGTTCCCAGCTTCCCGGGGCTGCTGCAGCTACCAGGAAGATGCCTTGGGATCAGCAGCCAGGCAGGTGACCCACACAAGCATTCAGTTAGCAGAACCAGACTGAGGCTGTGACCCATGTCTGCAGGAAAGGTTGAGAAATCCCTGCATAGCCTTCAGGATAGGACATATCCACTGGATATGTGAGGGTGGCTTCCTTTCTTTCCTGGGTTGTTTCACGTTGTTGGGAGCAGTTAAACAGCTTCTATTTCATCCCATCCCCAACTTGTTCCCACTAAGAGAAGTTGGTGTATGCAAGAGTTGGAATTAATTGGGCTGAAAGTTGTATGAAAATACATGAGCTATCTATGATGGGCTGGGGGAGAACAGCTCTCAGGGGAATCCGGGAAGTCCTTGCTGGGATTACTCTTGCTGCTGCTTCATTCTTCATTCAKGAGCGCTCAGCCAGTTGCCATGTGCTGTATATCCTGGCCCTGTAGCTGCTCATTTTGCATTAGATCACGTTGTTACTTGGGCCATGGCTTGGCCTTGCCCACTGGGAAGTGAAAAGGCATTTACAGGCACAGCCAGTAAACCATCCTGCTGGATGAGCACGAGTKTTTTTGTTGTTCTTAAGACACTGAATTGTCTGTTAAAATTGTGAAGGTGGAAATTCCAAGCAAGCCATCAGAAGCTTTCCTGTATTTAGCCTTACACAGGGAATTTTCCTTCTGATAAGACTCACCTGGGGGAGCCAGTACTAATTGCTAAGCACACTGATCTAACAATCCTGGAAAATCCCTTGCCCTTCCTTCTCCTTTTTCCGTATCCATGTATTTATAACATGAATGTAATTCTGTATTTATCTTCCTACTTCATGACAACAAGCAGGTTAAAGGAAGGAAAGTACCAGCTGTCAATAAGCAACGACCCCATATTAAATCAGCCTCTCCATAGCCCGGCATTCACGTGTCCCTCCCATAGCAATCCAGAGCCTGTCACTAGTCTAGGTAGCCCAACATCATCCCACACCAGGGCTGCACCACTTCCAGTTCCCTTCACAAGCCCCATTGGGCAGGATGAGTCAGGAGGTGCTGCTAGAGGCCTCCCCAGAGTCCCACAGCCCCGTGGGTGACAATCTTCCTTTGAAATTTAGCACTGTACCTTCAGAGAGGCTGCCAGAGGCTTAGGGAATAAGAAGGAATTCCGTGCTTACCATGCCATTTAGCTTGATAGCAAATATTGGGATATACTCTGCCACCCACATGCTCAATTCTTAATCTGCTTGAGCAGTTTGTATCGYGAGCCTGTAACTGCATTGCAGAAGCACCAGGAAGGGACACTTAAGACTTTGAGGAGCTGGCATTTAGAGGCTGATTCGCCCTGGGGGCTAAGCATATTAGCTGGATGAGTCTGCTGAAATGAGCGGCACTGAAGTAATTAATATTGGCACCAAAGGCCACCAAGGTTTCAGGATTAACTCCTTGATTGCAGTGAACTGCTGGTTTTACTTTGCTGTGCTAGGTCTGTTCAAAAGGTCTTAGGGATTAAAATATACAAAATGAACAAACAAGATGAGAATCTTTGCCCAGTAGTTATAATCTTCTCAATTTCTTAATCCATTAAATGAGATAGCTTTAAACATCAAGATACCAAGAGGRAAAACTACTACAAGATTTATCAAATGATTCAATGACAATGCTAAAAATTGGGAATTTAGAGGGAAGCACACTCTTGAGCTTCTTGATTACACCTGGATCCTTCAGTATTTTGGGTCTGCTTGGGACTTACACAGCTCACATCTCATKCCCACACCCTTGGTTTTTTTTTATTCCCTATAGGTACCTGCTTGAGCAGGATTTTCCAGGGATGAGGATTGGACCGGAGCCTACAACTGACTCCTTCATTGCAGTTATGCAAGGAGATGTGGAAGGAATTGTTCCTGGAAACGCGTTGGTGGTGGATCCCAAGAAACCATTCAGGAAACTCAACGCCTTTGGCAATGCCTTTTTGAACAGGTCAGTGCTCAGAAACTTAGTTGCTGTGGAGCACGAAGCTAGAAGCTAAGAGGCAGCATAGCTAGCAGTTTAAAGGAACAAGGCACGATGCTCTTTGCCCCTGCACGCACGTGGCTGATGCAAAGCCATTCCAGCCCTGCTGGGTGCACATGCGTCAGGCACCGCAGGCCACACTGACAGAGTGAGCCAACCCGTAACTTTTCATGTGCAAGCAAAACAAGGACAAAGCACAGCCTGTCAGCCTCATCCTCTACACATCTAGGGTTGAAACATCTTTGTGACACTTTACACGTTACTTCATTCCTTTTACATTCCTGGTTGCTGCTTCTCTGCAGTCAATTCAGTTCCTCAAAGCTATATAGGCTAATCAGATGTAGCTACTGAAGACAGTAAAGAACTGGCCTGATTTACATTTCTTTGTTTTCTTGCATTTTAATATTGCTGTGGCAAACTTGTCCTCTCTCCATTCTCCATACAAATAACCTTGGATTCAAACTGATTCCAGCTCTAACATCTTTCCCATAAGTTGTATAGCAGCGATTCTGACAGCAGCCCCATGACGTCAGGCGTGTAACCTGCTCATTCCCTAGGCCTATTCCAGCCATACTGATTTTTGGATCTAGACCTTGCAGGAAGCCAGCAGCACACACCCATATCCTAGATGAGCACAAACTGCAATACAACAGACTGAGGGGAACAAACTGCTGGACTGTKCCTGCTGGTGCCTTCCCTACGAACACAGCGTGTGGGAGACATTGCAACATGGCAGCTGCTCAACTAGACAGCCAGGAAACCCGGGCTTTGACTCTAACTTCTTGGTTTGAGGGTGTCCATCCAGGAAGTGCAGCATCTCCTACCCACGCTGACCACAGGTGTGGGCTATGGCAAGACAGGCAAAGGAAGCAGCATGCAGAGAGGTGTGGGGAGAAACTCGACAGGAGGAGAGGCAGTTAGCTGGAGTTGTAGCTATGCAAAGAGGTTCAGAGTGCTTTAGGGTGACCCTGGAAACAATAGCTGACCACAGGGCAGGCTCATCATTCAGATACAGCAAGTGCAGTCCTACAGCAGACAGACCTTGAGATGTTTTCAACATTTGCATCCAGTCAACTGTCAGGTTGGCTCACAGACCACGCTGTACTCCAGGGGAGGGTGATGATTTAGACTCTGAAAATAACATGCCCGCTGCCTGGAGAAGAGAGATGGGAAATCAAGAAAACCTCTTTCAGAGCAGTTCTGCTGATAGTCAAGGACAGTCACAGCTGACAGATACTTTGGCACACAGGAAGATAGGATTTGAGGAACAACAAAGCAAAATACAGAGGACAAGAAACAAACACACCAGAGTTGGAGCGGCTGATACACATCAAACACAATTTGTTCCTAGCAGAGGCAGGAATCTTTGTGCTGTTGCTAGGTGTCCCTTAACCTAGCCCACCATATCATGCTGTGCCCTGGTGGTACTCCCATCTCCTCCTGTGAGGCTGCGGCCAGGCATGTGCCTGTGAGGACAGCAGGACAGAGAGGCAGAGCAGTGATTCAGCAGCAGAAGTGCAGTCCTGCTGGCAGTGCAGGGAGGAGTAGCCACGATTAACCCCTTTTTCCGCTGACAGATGAGGAGGAGTAATGATTTCTGAACTGGCAGAGGAAGACATACTGAGGTCAGCAGCATAAGCATCACAGTGCTTAAGATGCAGACAGTAATGCCAAGATATTTAGGAAATTAAGCACATGCAAGAACTGACTCTCAGAGGGCCAGAAGTTCAGATGCAAGTCAGGGTACACCCGTGGAACCAGATGAAGCAACCCCTATGTTCTCCTGTTTATGGGCCTGATGTATTCTCAAGAGAGTCCAGAGTTGTTTCTGCCTTGGGGCTGTAGGGGAAATCRTGGGACTGCAGTGCCAGACTCTAGCCTCATCTCTTGTCCTCCTCTCCTTGTCACAGATGCTTCTTGGGTACTGGGAGAAGGGCTTATTTTCACTGCAAATCTGCTGGATCTGCTCCAGCTCTGGAGGGATCTCAGCAGAGAGATTACAGGTTGCACCTTGTATCAGGAGGCCTTGTTTGCATCAAAGATCTGGAGCAATGCCAGGAATTTCAGCCATCACTTTTGTATCATGTTGTCTTGGTTGATGGTTGCAAGATTCCTCCTACCTCCAAAGTCTTGCTATCTTGGGAGGCTAGGGTGGAGTCCTTTTGCCTCTGTGTTCTCAACAGCAGGAGAGATTGTGGAAGCAGATTCCTCCATCACCCCCCTGCACTGCCTGCCACTGAAAGTCTAATTTGGCACCATGTTCTTCYCTTATGGTCCAGAACAGAATTAGGTCATGCTCCCTGAGGAACTGCAGTTCTGCTGGGACAGCAGGAAGGCAGCAGCCTTAGAGAACTGCTCAACAGAGCCAGAAAGCATTTACTCCCACTGCCCTCTGACCTTGTATCGGAATCTCTGGAATACTTTCTTTAGATGGGGTGGAAAATCCCCTTGCCCAAACCACTTAGTATTAGATAGATTAGATTAGATAGATCATAAGGACTACTCAGGAAAATGGAGCACTAACCCTGTCTGGCAGGAGCAGGAGTAACGTGACCTACTGAGCTTTTGTTCTCTGCGATAGGCCTGGTAGCAACAGGGAAACCAGCCAGACACCGTCTTCCCCGTGAGGGTGACACACTCAGAAAGGCTGCTCTTGTGCCACYTGCCAAGCTGCGGATGGGGAAGAGAGAGGCACAAGATCCAGACTGAAATAGGAGAGAAGACACTCAGCTAACCACTAAGGATTCATTCCTGTCAAAATCATCCCAGAGTCCTACAGTCCTACAGGTAGGATTGCTGGGGTGAGGTGTAGCATCACCTGGAGGAGTTCATAGCTGCAGGGACTCAGTGAGCTCCAGCTGTGGCACTGTGGAGCCCTGCCTGCCTTGACTGCATCCAGCAGCCTCTGTGCCAAGCCTGCTCCTTTCTGCACTTCTGCTGCCTCCCACAGGAGCACATGTTCTTATGCCTGGATATCACACCACATGATGAAAATAGCTTTCATATACATATATATTTACACACACAGAAATATAGCTGCCTGAAATACCTCCACAGAAAGACTAACCATGAAGTGCTACGTAAGCCGCGTAACCAGATACGCTTCCGCTGTCCGGTGAATGTTACCAGCAACTGAAATAGATGAGCTGCACCTCGCAGCTAGCTAAGGAGCAGATACACAGAAACGGAGCTGCAGAGGGGGAGGAGTGAGGTACAAATTGAACGCAAGTCAACAGTGTCACACCGCTGTGAAGAAAAGCAAACATCTTACTGAGATCAACAAACAGGGCTGTCGTATGCAAGAGACAGTGAGCAATCCGCCCACTGTTCAGCACTGACAAGGTCACAGCTGGGCCGCCACATCAGGTTGAGGCATCACGCCTGAAGAAATATATGGAGCAGTTTGAGAGCATCCGAGAGAAAGCTGCTGAAGTCTTTGGGGATTTAGGAAACACGAACTAAAAAGGGAGCTTGAGAGAAGCAAAAGGGAAAAAAGTTGTTTTCTTTAGRGGAAAGACTGAGGGGAGTCACTATGAGAGTACTTGACATATGCACCCATTGCTACAACAGGAAAAAAATAAAGCTATTTCCATATTTACTGTTTTCAAGAGAAAAAAAAAGTTGTTGCAGGGAGATATAGATGAGATATTAAGATTTTCTACTGTAAGAACAGTTAAGTGACATATTAAACTCTGAAGTTGCCAGGTCCTCATCACYGAGTCTGAAGAATACTCTAGGCAAACAGCTGTTTGATCCTGCCTTGAGGCAGAGGAATGCACTAAGAAGCCTCTTGAGATCTCATGCTGCCCAGACTTTAGGATTTCCATGATGTAAGAACAACCCAATTTCTTTAAATCATGATAAAAAAGAAATGCATATGACATTGACTTTTTTTCAAAAAAAAAGATGACAAGTTATTTTGGTTCATTTCAGTTCAGGACCCTGCAGGAGAACACTTACATTAAGGAAAACAAAAATGCCACTTCTTGCTAAAAATCTAAACAAATGAAAATACTTGTATTGTTCCACATTGTTTTTCATTAATAACTCCGATTTTGGGGCCAGTGGAGTCACGACCTTTGGTAAGTCGTGTAAAATCAGCAATTCGGAAGAAGCAAAGTAGAGCTCGTGTCTTCACTTATTTGATGCCTTTAATCAAGAGTACTACAAGCTCAAGCTAGAGACCTGGGTTATAAATGAGATCAAAATTTCAACTGTCTTATCCTGCCYGTTACGTTCAGCCACTCATAAACCCTTTTTGCTTGTATTTTAAATACATATGTTTTTATGCAGGTTCGTTTGTGCCCAGCTACCTAATCCTGTACTAGAAAGCATCAGTGTCATCGATACACCAGGGATCCTTTCTGGAGAAAAGCAGAGAATTAGCAGAGGTAAGTCCTGGATTCGTTGCCCTTTCCAAGGATGGGATTGGAAACCAAATGGACCGTGAGAGTTTCCCCTGGAGCTTTACACATTCAAGACAAACACTATTAGGGGTCTCAGAAGTCCAGCACAATGTTACCAGTGTCTCTTTGGACTTGTTTTGCAGTGTGCTGTAGAGGACTTCAAATGTTCACAGAGAAAGGAGTTAACAGGAACAGCAGTGCTTGAATTAGAACAGGTCCTATATTCCCCAGTGAAGTAGATTTTGATGAGAAAAATTAGAACTTACACATGTTGCAGAAACCTTGGCCTAGAGATGAACACTGGCAGTGGCAATCAGCCTTGTTTCCCGCCTCTTGGCCAAAGACTGTCCAGGCTTCCTAAATCTGCTGCAAGATTGGGCTGGGTCTAAGAAGCACTGCCACCCAAGTGGAAAATCTGGAGATCCTGAGGACAACAGACAGGTCTCATGAATAGCACAAAGTCTCTCACTGAATATGCATTTGGATTCAAAAGAATGGGGAAAATAATTCAAAAGAGTGGAAGGTAATGAGTAGGTCTAYAGTTTTGGAGCCATTTATGTTAATCTTGTTTCCACTTGCCATCTACCAGCTTCTCYCTAGAGTATTGGGGAAAAATTGTTTAGAACAAACATTTCAGGCGGGGCTGTTTGTCATATATCCCTCAATTAATACAAGAGCACCAACTCAAATGAGTGGTTCAGGCTGGACTCCAAAATTAGGCAACAGTCTTGATGTTTTGCCCTAATGTCTCTAGTCATTTTCTTCCTCTGTAAGGTAGTGGCAGCAGCAGAGCTCTCCTTTGACAGCTGTGCATCATTTAATTCAGTGAAAGCAGTATTCAGGTGCTAAGAGTTGTTATCATATTATAATGACAGGCACAGATTCATATTTGAGGAGATCTGTTCTCATTCACACTCCCTGTTTGCAATACACAATTAATTATCTGTAGCACACACCCAACCTGAAACGCTAAGACCTTTCCCTATGTTATCACTCTGCCTTGTATTGAAAATGCTCTTGGAAACTTTTCACCGAGTAACCACCTTGCACAGAGACAAATCCTGTTCATTTTACCAAATCTTCCAGCACAGAATCTCAGCTAAAAAGTATCAGTAAAGGGACAATTACAGTTGTAATTAATAAGGGACAATTACAGTTAATTGAAAGGCACAGATTCAAAATAAACTGTTCGAACATGAGTCTTTGCACTGCAAAGGGATCATGAATTCTTTCCAGGCAGTCTGCAAAAGCTGACCAAAATGTTCAGGCCTTCTTCAGAAGGCCTTAAACAAGCTGCACAAGCATCCCTACCTCCAGCAAAACATGTTTAAGAGTCTGGAGGGAAAAACTGAAATTAGAAGGTATAAAGCTTTTCAGTCAAAAAATAATACTGAGAGTCATTAGTTTTCTCACAGAACTGTTGTTGTGATGAAGTTTTGCTTACGAGAAAACTGTGTTGTTGTTTAAGTGTKTAAATGAGTCAAAATTGACTCTTTTCAAGCCTGAAAGAAGTTTCCCTATTCCTCCTCACAAATTCAAATCCTGCCTTACATTGCAAGGAAGAAAATCAATTTTCCAAATATTTCTAGTACTAAAAATATCCTCTTGCAAAATGTACTGTCACTTCCCTCTCCTCCTTTTGCAAAGTTTCTCCATCTGCCTCCTGGGGGCCTTGGTGCACATTCCTGCAGGGACACTTGTAAGTGCCAGCACGTGCCCCCATGGGCAGCTGTGCTCTGTTGAGCAAGACTCTGGGTGCACTTTGGCCCGAGCCTCTTAACACCTCCCCAGACATTGGGGCATAGCTGAAGGAATTCCACGGGCTGGGAAAATGTTCCCTGGGAGCAGAGAGGAGCGAGGAGGAGCCTCGTTCCTCTAAGCATTTGCATTCTGATCCTGTCTGGGGGGCTGTAGGCCAGTCCTGGCGCTYGAGGCCAGTTCTTCACAGACCGCTCCGCTGCCCCAGGCACAGTGAGGTGGAGGCGCGTTGGCCCCGTGGGTAGAGCAGCCAGCTGGGTCACTCCATCCTGAGCTCTTATGCCAGGAAGAGAGAATTGAAGGTGGAGATGCAACCTCCTGCTCACCTAAGGAGCTTTCTGTTCACTGCCAACCAGACAAGGGGCCGTTGCGTAGCTGGCCGACCTGCTGACAGCACAGCGTAGCTGAGACCCCARGGCATCGCTGTGTATATCCAGCATAGGCCGAACCCGTCACGTGGGCCAGGTCAAACAGCTTCTCAAAAGCCCCAGGACCAGCTCCTCATCTCCTTCAGATCAGCATAGGTTTGTTGAAGCTGGCCGAGCTGCAGTGATTTCTGTCTGCAGGGGATCTAGCCCAGGGAGCTGCGAGTCAGAAGAGAGCTGAGGTGCTTGTTTAAGAAGGGCTGCTGCCAGGCATTGGCTTCAGCTTATCTCAAGGAAGCTGGGGTGTTTGAAGGGGAGCAGGAGCGGAGGAAAAGGCAAAAGTGGGAAGGCCAGCTCTTTTTTCCACCGAGCTTGCAAGTCAGCTGCCCTCCTTAGCAAGCTGGTTTTGGAGACATACACAGCAGCGATGCGGTTTTGAGGCAGAGAACAAGGCAATGCCCAGAAGTGCTGACACCACAAAACACTCCTGCTGCTCCATACACTCAGCCTGCTCAGATTTCCCTTGGGAATAAAGCAAGACCTAAGGGAGTCTTATAGAGGTTTCCCAGGAGACGCTTTGAAGTTTCTTTGCAGCTCAGAGTAGGGGAGGAATGGGGATTTTCCCCTATTCCATGAGCTCTTCTCATCCCCATTATTTGTTGCTAACGGCTTGTAAGACTCTCAGACGGAGGTACCTGCGGTGCAAGGCCGGGGAATGGAGCAGGCAGCAGAGCAGCTTCTTTTTGTCATTAATTTGAAGGGGAAATTACCAACACAGAAGAGGTGGCAGGCTTTCCTCACCTGCCCATCCGTGTGAAACAACAGCATTTCTAATAAAGGGAATTTCCTCTCAGTGGGAACACTGGGAGCCTAAGGGGCTCCTTTCCCATCAAGGCAGCAGGAGCGTTAGCTAATCTGCACGATGCCAGCTCAGCAGGATCCCATGGAGTTAAAGCAGAATCCTTCAGGGCTCGCTCTGAATCTCGGAGTCAGAGCAGTTCCTGTTACTACATCCATGTTTCAAGGAATCTGGCTTCCCAGGAGCAGCTCAAGGGCCAAGACCAGGTGTTGAGGCTCGGTTCTGGTTTACATTCACTGCTCGTAGCTGCCGGCCAGCCCACAGTGGCAGAGCACACAGTCCCTCCCTGAGGGGCAGGCAGCGTGCAGGAGCGCAGTGCTCCTGCGTTAGCACTGATGGCAAGCAGCCTGGCACAGCCAGCAGCAGAGCTGCCAGGCCAGGTATTCCTCCAAGGAATGGCTGCTATTCCCTGAGAAACAGCAGTGTGCCCTGGCCCTCCTTCAGGGCACCCCGACGTGACCATAACAGCCCCTTCTCCCCCAGAGCAGCGCACGGAGCTTCCCCGGGAGCAGGCAGGCAGGTTGAGGCTCGTAGCAGCTGATGACTGTGCAGTCTGTCACAGCTGACACCCACATGCCCGGGGCACCCGCGGAGATCACTGGCCTGCACACAGCTGCTGCTCCTGCACTCAGACATTGCTGAAGGCAAAGGAGCTGCCTGCAGCAGCCTGTCCCGCTGCGCTCCCATGGCTTGGTGCTCTCCTTGGCTGTGGGCACCCACCGTGTCATGGCTGATGCATTTCAGCTGTAGAGCCCTGGCACACAAGGAGGGACACCAGGGCACCAMGCATCCTGCCCTTCACTGCTTCTCTGCTTCCTTGCCTGGAGAAGAGCTATTGCTCCTCAAGACCTTTTCCACATACCGTGGTGCAGAGAACTAGCCATTTTATTGCCCTCTTACTCCAGTTGCTTCTCCTTTCTTTTATTGGGCCCATTTGAGTGTAACATGAGAGCAGGTTGCATAGATGCCTGTGGGAGGGGAGGTATTTGTGTCAAAGCAGCACAGTTTGGCTTCCTGAACACTGGAGAGCAATGCAGACGCTCTCCATTTGCAAAGCCCTGTTCTGGTGTCACGTAATGAACCCTCAGAGTCCTGCTGGGAGAGAAGACAGGAAAGGGAGGTCTGTCCTGGAATAAATGAGGGCAGAGTGTGGGACCTCGGGTCAGGTCACACAGCAGAGCCAGGACAGGAGCTAGGAGTCGGTCCCAAGTCRTCACCTTGCACGCTCTGCAGGCAGAGTGAGGCACCTCTGTAGGGCAGCTCGTGCAAGGCTGAGCCTGGTCCATCAGCTTCCAGCGACTTGCTGGGCTCAGCCTACACATGCCCCGGGCTAAACAGACAGGAGTCTGCTGAGCTCAGCAATGCCAGGGCCAAGCTGTGTTTGACCTGTTTTATAGCAGCACTTGAACACATCCTGACCGGTTCCTTTATCTTCATCCTGTGTATTTTGTCCCCCCTTTTCTTCCCCTGTGAGCAAGGGCAACRTCCCAGCCCACCAAGGACTGGCAGCAGTGCTCCCCATTAGCTTGCATTCCAGTAAACTCCATTACAGCTTTCTTCYAGCCTTCCACACATTTCCATTCTGTTTGCTGCAAGGCAGCCCAGGCTTCCCATAGCCAAGGAAAAATTGCTGCTAGCCACGCTCTTTCTCCTGGAAAGGGAAAATTCAGTGACCAGCAGCTTCCGCACTGGGAATATTTAGTCACTAGCCAGTCTGCCAGGAAAAGGAGCAAAGACTAAGGTTAATCCTAAGCAGTTACAGAGCTTCACACTGACAGCTTCTCAAATGGCCATGCTTGCAAGGAACAGGCAAACACCCAAAGGAATATTCTTCTCCCACTTCACGAGGAGTTGTGTGGGGTACAATGGCAACAAGAAAATATTTTTTCCTAGAGTTTGGTCACGTGTGCTAGCAACAGCATAATATGCGACTGGAAGCACCCGAGTGGCAGGCATTTCAAATATTTGCTATAATGTTCCCCACTGATAGCACTTGTTTATAT